GGAGGTGGTTGACGCAGCTTGCTACTATGCTTGGAAGACTAGGGGTGAGCTGATGGCGTCTTTTATTGAAGGAGAGATGACACACTGGTCGGCGGAACAGGATGTGGCGACATGGCACAAGCTCAGGGAAGAGATGGATCCCCCTGTAGAAGAGGACGGCTTTGACGTGGGTCATTCTGACGACGAAGTTGAATCCTAATGTTTCTTGGGTAGATGGTCATGCTTCCCTGTTTTCTTAAGTTTGCTGGACTCTAAACATTTCCTATTTTTGAATCATTCTGACGTTACTCGACTTGCGTTAAGGTTTCCTGGTGGTTTATCCGGGACTTAACGCTTCGTCGCGCTACTATGGGCCTTACGCTTGGTGGTTTATCCTAGCCCTGTCCATGTCGTTTTGTGAATCTATTGTTGTTTTTGCTATTGTTCGAATTATGCTTTCGCTTATGCTACAAAGTCACAACTCGTGCCACAAAAAGACAATGAACAACCATGTTACCAGTCAAGTGGATCAATAAATGATCAAGATTGAATCTCTTGATCAACAGTAAAAATTCAACAACAGAGTCTATAAATACAGGAGCGTGTGAGAAGTAGTGTGGAGCTAAGAAGGAAAATGAGCATATACGACATATCCAGCAAAGAAGAAAGTACTGAGCATCACTCATCTTCTTAATTCTCACCTCACTCATCTAAGCTCTTAGAATAGTTCATATACATATACATCTTTAGATCTTAGTTAGTTGGAAGTTTAGCTTTACTCTTGTAAACTAGACTAGTTTGTAATCTCTGGAGGGCTTTGTGATCAAATCCAGAAGGTAAGTGAAGATCAAAGACATGAGTAATTTTTGGCTTGTCAATGCCATTAATGAAAAACATTGGAGGACTGAGTAACTTGGAATGGTGTTCTTATTCCTTGTGAAAAAACCTCACAATCTATGCCCGCGGCCAAAGATAGATTGGGCACTAAATGTAATGGGTATATTCATTTAGTGGAAAAAGTCAATCTGAAAAAGGGTGAGACTAGATGTAGGAGGATTACACCACCTCTGAACCGAAATATATCTTGTGTTATCCTTTATATTCTGTTCCCATAAATACCAACAGTTCTCACTCATCTTCACATCTTCCCAGACACTTTAAAACAGCTTCCTAAAACACTGATCATTGAACTATCTAGTTTACTACATCTAAGCCTCCTTGTTTTGTATCCTTATATTAAAAAGGATCTCTTTCTAAGTAGGTCTAAATCCTTCATATCTACGTGTTCAGTCTATTCCAAAAATTCAAGTGTTTTAGACTAGTTCTTCACTATGTCTCTAATACTGAAGCAGTAGCCTTGTTCAGCAGCTTGCTCTTTGAGGTAGCTGATTTAACGAACACCTTTGGTCTTTGTTAAACCATCTTCCAGCAAACTAAAAGGGTCATAACTTTTGTTACTATAAAGTGTCACACTTATGAGGTCAAGACTTCCGCTGAATGTTTCGATATTTCCCAAAAGATATTGGAACTCACTCTATTAGAGGAAAAAGGGTTGATAAATTGAAAATATTTAAAAATCTATTCACCCCCCTCTAGACTTTTACCTTACTAGGGACCATCACTTAGTACTCTGTTGAGAAGAGCGGAGGCCCGAGGGGGTATTCATGGTGTAGCGATTTGCATGGGAGCTCCAAAAGTTGCTCATTAATTATTTGCCGATGATAGTTTTTTATTTTTTAAAGCTACTAATACCGAGTGTAGCTCGAAAAAAAATATTGTGCAAACATATGAGAAAGCGTCCGGACAGACTATCAATTTCACAAAGTCTTCCATATCATTTAGTTAGAATGTGGAAGAGTCCGCTAGAAAAGCATGCTGCCATTGGAGGAAAAAGCCGATACCGTGGTCTACCGACATTGGTGGGCAGGAATTAATCAGCCATTCTGGGTTATCTGTGTGGCAAAATTCTGAGCAGAATAAAGAATTGGAATAACAGGTTCCTTTCATGTGCTAGACGAGCGGTCCTTATACGAAATGTGGTACAAGCTCTTCCCACATATGCTATGAATGTTTTTTTATCAACTAAGGAGCTATGTGATGAAATTGAAAACTCATGAATGAGTTTTGGTGGAAAGGAACCAAGTTTGATCAGAAAGGAATAAGGTGGCACATGTGGGAGGTTCTATGCAAATCGAAAAAGGAGGGTGGTCCGGGCTTTAGAAGGCTAAGGGAATTTAATTTGACAATGTTGACAAAACAGGGGTGGAAGCTAGTGACAGAGTCGAGGAGCCTAATGAGTCGAGTGCTAAAGGCAAAATATTTTCCAAACACGGATTTTTTGAGAGCTTTGCTTGGTTGCAACCTGTCTTTTATATGGCGAAGCATATTTGAAACCCAAGAGATTTTAAAAAAAAATATTAGAAGAAGGGTGGGGAATGAGAGAGGTGTGCAGGTGTGGGCGAATGCGTGGCTACCAGGCTCGGGGTCAGGGCGAATTCAGTCGGTTAAACCCACAAGCATCATCGATATGAATGTTGCAGCCCTCAGAGACTATACGGGCAAGGAATGGAACGGGGAGAAAATATTATCTACTTTTAACACTGAAGATAGCGCTCTCATTTCGAGTATTCTTATCAGTTCGGTGGACGGGAGAACATAATGACAATTTTTCTGTGAAAATTTGTTACAAAAGCTTACTTTTATTCCGCCGACCGGTGGAATCAATACCTGGATTCAGCTGTGGGAGTTCCAGGTACCACCTAAATTTAAATATTTTCTTTGGTGGGTTTTGAATGGTTCTTTGCCAACAGTAGAAAACTTGCGGAAGTGGGGAGTGGAGCTACAAGAGGAGTGCATACTCAAGAGGTGTGGCTACAAGCGGGTGTATTGTAGCCAGCAGAGGCCGTGCAGATTGGGGACTTGATTAAATAACAGCCGCAACTAGCTAACCATGAGCATAAACGCAAGTTTATATCCCTGTTGTGGAGTATATGGAAGAGGCGGAACTCTTTATATGGAAGAATGAATGGATGGGTACGACATGGCTGATTACTTGTGTCATAAGTGTGCTAACTAGCTTGAAGAAGGCACAATGGTTGGGGGTTAGGAAGCAACGGCCGAGAGTGGTAAGAAGCAACACATGGCGTAAACCGAGGATGGGGATTATCAAAGTGAACGTGGATGCGGCGGTGAACCCAACCGGAGATACTCGAGCATGGGGATGGGTTTCTAGGAATGATCAGGGGGAGTTCATAACTGCGAGAGGAGTTTCAGTTAAAGTAGGATGGTCCCTGACGGAAACAGAAGCGGCAGGCTTGAGGGACGCTATTGAAGGGGCGATTGATGGAGGCTGGCAGTAGGCCAGTCAATGGGTCGGGTCTAGACCCGGACCCGACCCAGACCCGGTTGTTTTTAATGGGTACGGGTATATATTTTATTCCGTTTACCCGGACCCGGATTCGGACCCTTTAGTATTTTAAATAAACGGGTCGGGTATGGTACATACGATTCCGACCCGTTAAGGACCTGGACCCATTTACAATTTCTTATTTGTGTACACATACACTAATACATAAAGTGATTAGTTATAACACTTTAACTAAAATAGAAACTAATATACATATATATACATAATAATACATAAAGTTATTAGTTGTGAATTTGTGATTATTCAATAAAAATATAAACATAAATACATAAATACTATATAAGTGATACTGATTAATATAGTAAGATACCCTAAAACTAATGCCCATTTTGGCCGTAAATACATACTGATAAAGTGTGTATTGGGCTTTGTACGAAAACCACAATATTTATTACTATTATTATTAATATTATTATATCATTATCATATATAACACTACATATGATTTTACTCTTAGTAGTCCAAGAGACCTTTTTATGACTTAATTTCTAGTTTATTCTACAAGCTTTTTGTGCGAGAGAAAGTGACACAAAGTGTGGAACTATATGCCTGTACAAGAACCAATACTTTATTGGATAAAAGTACTAATTTTCTATGAGAAAACTTGATTTTTTAAAAAAAGTGAAGATATATTTTGCTTTTAAATTTGTACATTTTGCTTTATATTTCACATACATGTCTTGCTATTTTCACAAAGTTTATAATGGTATGCGTATCATACTTGGCGGGCGGGGCTACCCGACCTGATTCCGAGACCCGTTGGGTCTGGGTCCGGATCCAAATTTTCAGACCCGCCGGGTAAACGGGTTGGGTCCGGATCCATTCTTAACTTAGCGGGTCTGGGTCTGGAACACTACGTTCCGACACGGACCCGACCCATTGACAGACCTAGCTGGCGGGATGTGGAATTTGAGACGGATGCACTCATAGTGGTCCAAGGGATCCGGCAAGGGGAATGCTTCTTGTATATTGATTTATTTTTGGAGGATATTCGAGAAATTATTAATACAAAGAGTACTTACCGTGTCTATTTTTTGTAAATGATCTGCGAAACGTGTAGCTCACGCTTTGGCTAGAGCACATGTCTTTGTCTCAGATCATACCAGTGAGTATGAAAGTGTTTCTGATTTTCTTGTAAGCCAATTGACTAATGATTTGATTAATTAATACAATTGGCTAATTGATGATAAAAAAAGTAATACTCCCTCCGTCCCACTGGACTTTGTCATCTTTTCTTTTTTAGTTGTCCTAAAAAACATTGTCACTTTCCCATTAAAATAAGTATTTTGTGTATCTACTCATTTCACTCTCCTCTGCACAAATTTGAACCACACAATTTTTACAATTCTTATTCCTCACATAACTCAAGGAGTGCAAAGTCCATTGGGATGGAGGTAATATGTAATTGCTTTCCTTGCAAAAATCATGATATGAAAGGGAAAAGAATCTTATTCATATCTGGTTGAAACTATGTATGGAAAAGAATCTTATTTTGAAAGATGATTAGAAGGAAATATGATTTCGAGAGTAGAGTATTTAAAGGGAGGGGGGATCTAGACATGTAGTGATGAACATTTTTTTCAAATCCCTAACATCTAAACGTAGCATTACACGCTTTAGTTAATGGTACCAAAACAATCAAATCCACGGGCCCCACACATCACGCCATAAACCCCGTTTAAAAATCTCCATCTTTTCCAACTCCTCTACTTTCCAGTTTCCCCTTCGTCACCGCTCTCTTCCCACCATGGCCACTCCCTCCGTGCTTCACACTCTTCTTCTGCAGCTCTCCCTTCTCCTAATCTCCGCCGCCGCCGCCGCCGTCACTGACATCCATGACCTTCTCAGAAGCAGAGGACTCCCGGCCGGGATCTTCCCCAAGGATGTAGTGAAATCATATGACCTTGCCGATGATGGCCTCCTCCAGGTGTACCTGGATTCACCATGCGTGGCTATGTTTGAGACAAGGGTGTTCTTTGACAGCGTTGTCAGTGCTAATCTAAGCTATGGAGGTCTCATGGGAGTTCAGGGTCTCTCTCAAGAAGAGCTCTTCTTGTGGCTTCCGGTGAAAGATATCATAGTGTATGATCCATCTTCCGGTCTCATCTTGTTTGATATTGGCGTGGCTCATAAACAAATCTCTCTCTCCGTCTTTGAAGAACCCCCCACTTGTACCCCTCAAGGTAACTTTGAAGTTCAAGTTTCCCTTATCCGGAAATAGTTAGATTTACTCGCCTACAAGGCTGGATTTTGAGGGTTTTCTTTTTGAATATGAAATTTAAAATTGAAAGAGATCGTTCAATTATAATCAACCATGATGTGTGCGCACAGATTAAAGCAGCTATATTTGGAAATTTTTCATAATTCACCCACCATAAACTTTTAGGGACTATCTGTTATTGGGTTTTTGGAATATACCCTCAAATTACTTGCCAAGATTCAAACTTTATTTGATTTCTTGGCAAGAAACTGTTAATCAGAAATGGGTGTTCGAGTGATTGTCTGTATAAATTGATCTGATGGTTTCGAGAAAAAATTGAATGCAGGGGCGTTGATGGAGAAACAAGCAAGGGAGGAATCTGAGTTTCAGATTGAAAGATTCAAAACTTTCTCCTTTTCTTCTTCCTAATATGATGATGGTCCAAGTAAAAATTTTGGTGCTGAATTCTTGTCTTCTGTGTAGTGTGGGGCTGAAGCTGAATCCTGAAGGTGGAGTTGATTCTAATTCTTAGATTTCTTGGGGGATTGTAATTTGTAAAGAAAAAATGGAAATGTACTGACTAGATAAAACATTGTGGAGAAGAAACAAAAAACACAGTTTTGAAAAAAAAATCCAAGTCATTAGCTTTTTCAATAGTACAGATTTCCTATTTTGCATTTTTGCATTCAATGAAAGTTACCTCAATTACTTCTAGAACACCCATTATCATTGGGCAACATATTACCTGCTTCAACTTTTTTGCTAAATGGTGAAAATGATTCGGGAAATATATTAGGAGAGATCCTCTCCGTGAAATCATGATTGTGACTTGTAAGTGAAAGTTGGGCTCTGTTTGGCACATGAAAACATTTTTCTTCAATGATTTTTGCCTAATTGTTTGAACTTTTGTGGGATACTGCTTCTCTTGTTAACGTAAAACAGTTTTTTTTTGGGTCAAACATCATACAGAGTATTATAAATGGACTAACTTGTTTACGAGCAAAAAACTTTGTTTATGAAAAATTTTCTAGAAAATATGTAGTATTGCTATACTTGTTATGGAAAACTTTGTCAATTTTCCTTTTTGGGTTGTCTCAATAAGTAAAAAATTTATGATTCTAGTTAATTATATCTACTGCATAAACATTAATCACACAATTTTTATTTTATTAATTAATTCTCGTGCTGGTCAAATTTAGCCAAAGTAATAAATTATATTCTTACGTTGCATCTAACTGAGCCCAAATATATATACATGCTGAGCTTTCTTTCGAGTGCAGGTGAACAATGAGACAGATGGTTTCGAAACCAAACACAATATAGTAACAAGATTAGTATTTTAGCATAAAAACGTGCACTGAAATCACATTATTTGTCAAATAATTTACATGGCCAATATTATATGCTGATCGGCCTGGCTGTCTGTCTACCTTAGTTATGATTTGCAATGTGTGGGCTCCATGCACATGTTATTTTTTCAAACGTTAAGCAGACCACGAGGACTCATATATTTTGAAGTCTTTGCAAGAGTTTTCTACTTTTGATTGGCTAGCAGCAGCTGGCATTTGGGTCCCACCATTTTGGTAGACTATTTCAGATTGAACAGAAAAGTTTGGATGGTATGAGAAATTTACAAGCTAGTACCTAGATCTTAACAGTATGATTATGATTATGTTAATTATAACTGCTGATCTGTAAAGTGAGAACATTGGTTAATGAAAAACAAAACAAAAGCAAAGATGCTATTACTACAATGAGTATATGACAATATGACTTTGATCATGTTTGTTCCTCACTTTATTTTTCGGATCAAGCTTTATGAAAACAATGATCTAACATTCCATCCAATCTTCTGACGAAATTCAGTCTTTCTTATAAGTTCTTGATAATCTGCTTCAAGAACTCCTCAGCTTTATGAGCCTCTTCTGGTCCACTCTGACTCAACTACAATTTACACAATATTAACAGACCATTAATTAATCCGTAAATAGTTATATGATGTGATTATTATTTAATGAAAAGTCAAGAAATTCAAATAATGGGAAGATTTTACCTCGAGGGTTGAAGTAACAAGAAGGGCACCTCTGGAGGTGGTTGCAGAGGTGTCGTTGAGTTGAGCTCCAATAACTTTCATGGCTTCCATCAGTTTAGTAAAAGCACCTTTTCCGTTCTTGCAGACTACTTTTATCCAGAGCTTGTTTTGTGATATGGGAGCCACAAGAATCTCCGCCTGTGGACAAAAAAACCCTTGATAATTAAGGGATTGTTTCTTTATGGACAAAACTGACCTATAAGCCCATAACTTTTTGCATAGGTATGGAGGTTTAAAGCCAATTCCGAAGGCATTCGATTCTTGATCATTAGTGAGGAAAACTAAATGCGGTGTGAATACAGACATCAGACACTCAGACATGATAAACCAAGAGAAATTTAGACAATTTTTTCTTTAATTTTCATTCAAAAAGACAAGTTTTTGCGCTAGAGGCAACACTCAATTATATGGTAACATGCTGTATGGATGAAGGAAAAAAACTACAACCGGACCTTTTCCATTAGGGCTGGGTCCGGTTTCAGAGTCTGGCCGGAACTCCGGAAATGACCGGTTTTTCTGATATCCATTTTCTCTTTTGACTAGAACTCGTACTCAGAATGAGTGTATATGAAATATATTTTTATCCCGATTCCTTCAAAGCACAAATGGAATCAACCAATTCCATTTTTTAAATAAACTAAAAAAGACCAGATCCGGTTGTCCAGGTGAAAATTATGATAATACCCTTTATGACCTAAATTCACTTGGGTCTACCCGCAGTTCTATTTTTACGGATTTAATGTGTTAAACCCCCTCATGAATTTAAATATTGCGCATTAGACGTTTATGCTTTAAAAAATGTGTCAAACCTCCTTAGTTATTACTCCGTATTAATTATGTGCATAACTCCCTCGAAAATTAAATTTAACAATTTAAAAATCTAGTATTTTAATGCTACGATGATTGAACATTCAAGTAAGTTTTGCATGATCTTTAAATTATACCAACATACTAGTCATTTTTCTTTTATTCAGCAATTAAATCTGTTCTTTGAATGAGCTATGAGCATGATTAGTTATAGCATAGAGGGTTTGGTACATTTTTAATCACAAGGGAGTCTAGCCCACTAAAACCTTATTTTACCTCAATCCCACAATCCATCATATCCCCTTCTTTAGGAGTGTCAGTTTTCTCCTCATAACCCCCATTTTCAGACTCTGGTTTCACTTCCGCCTCACCAGAACTTGATCCATTCTCTAAAAGCTGGCTGCTTAGCTCCTTCACATTGCTCTGCAACTCCTCAATGTAACTTATGGCATCTGTTATTATCGTCTCTTTAGTCATCTACAGATCAAGAAACACCTTCCCCATTAGAAACATACCATACCTTACATCCCCCGTTCCCAAAATAATTGACGTTTATAAAAGTGATGAATGCACATTTATAAAATCTTACAAAATGACATTTGAATTGCCTCTTTTTAATCCAATTATAAATGCATTTTCTTTCTGTCTTCGTATGCAAACTTAATGTTTTTAAAAAAAATGTATGCAAACTTAATTTCCACATACAAATTGTTTTGTTGCTAAGAAGCAGATCATAAACTTTGGATACACACACTGGCACAGGCATATATATGCATAGGGTATGTGTGGTTCAACTAAAAATGATGCTCAACGTGTAAAATGCGAAATATTGAATTTTACAGCACATACACTTTTCTGTGCAAGTAGTGCACATTTATATGTTTGTAAAACGCACTTTAGCACGTTAAGAAAGTATTTGATCCTAATTCTATATATTGAGTATATGGATGGATCAAAATCAAAGGTGGGTCATTGCTTGCATTTGTGATGTTTGGGACTAATGATCGAAGCTCTAAGAGCCTTTGGCTGAGCTTCTCACGGCGCCTCCTTTCGGCTTGAAGGTTCTTGGATTTGTACTCTCCGTCATCTTGAGCTTCTGGGCTTCTTTTCTTCCTATCCATTCTCCCTCCTCCCTTCTTCCCACTTTCTTCAGCAATGCAGAAATCATCAGAAAACTCTCTTTTGAAGCTATCAACTCTCATTTTCTTTCCAAAAAGTGGAGGCGACAGTGTGGTTGATCGGATGATATATGAAGATCAGATGGATGAGTTATATTGCCACAGAGATTGCACTAGTTTCATGTTGTGGGAGGGAATTTGGTTTTTATTGGTGTCCCTTGCAGCCAGAGCAGGGCAAGGCAATAGGACTCCTTTATACCCAATTACCCCCAAATGTAGGTCTGGGGACCCACAACAATCATCCAATTCCTACATATTTTATATACCCTTTTTCTATATTCCCTTTTTATTGAAATGTTTGCTACAATAGGAAAAAGTAGTACAACAATGAATAATGCAAAAAAAGTAAAAGAGAAGGTGGAAAAGTATAAAAAAGAAAATTAAAACTAAAAAGAGAAGGGAGTTTTTCAAAGAAAACTTACCAAAAAAGAAAAATGTAGATATACTAAAATACATCCAAAAAGGTGTATGTAGCCGATAAAAAATACACACAGGAGTAGCGTTTATGGTGAGGCCTGCCAAATGGGAATCCCGTCAAGTCAATTTCATGTTTGGCAGATCAAGAAGTTTATGATCCATTTTTTTATTCATTAGTATCAACTACTACATATTAGTTTCAAAGATTATCAAATAATTTAAAATCTTCGAAACTTAAATATGATTTCTATGATAAATTCATATTTACCGTGAGATAAGTGTTATTGGGAAAAACTTGAGATTGTAGGGTCCACTTTCAAACTAATTAAAATCTTATGTTTGAAACTAATAGTTGATACTAATGAATACTCAGTAAAAAAATTGGAACAAAAATTTTGGTTATTCCCAAATAGAAAAAAATGGATATGATGTTCATATCAGATCTAATGGATTGGTATGAACGTTACTCATACATAGAGTATCACAAATAGGGAAAAAAAACTTATAGTTTTTGTTGGCATTAAACGGATAAGGTGAACGTGAATAAGAAAATAAAGAGCTAACTTAAATTTTAAAAATGTGCCCCATAAATAAATCATTATTAAAAAATCATACTTCGTATATGGTAATGTTACATGTATAACCAAATGGAACGAGCTTGGGTGTGATTGAGACCAAATAATGAAATGATATGTAAGTTCAGGGGACCCATTATAAGCGGGGACCAAAGAGCGTCACTTGATGAGACCTTGAAAGAGTTAAAGGAAATATTAAAAAAATGATACATCTCATTTTTAGGGCTCTCAAAACCGGTCAAATAGTTTGTTGGAAAGATTAAATTTAATTATAATCACAATCTAATTGATAGAGTGAGATCTACATCTAATATTTTTTAGAACTTTATTGTAGTTGTCATGAATTAAACTCAAATATACCCATTTTCACACAACCGTTTAGCAAGTTGAACTAAATTCGTTATGAAAGTTTGATGGGAATGGGTCACAAGAGGCACATGTACTTCTACTCTTTTGGGAAGTGATAATTGAGAGGTGAGAATCTTATTGTTACAGTTTGTTGGCTATTCTTCCATTCAACTCAATGTTTTTGGTGCCTTAGAGAAATTCAGCTCATTGTTGGCATGAATGTTTGTGTTGTTTGTGAGAGACTGAGAGTATACTCATATTATGCATCTTTTATTCTTTTACAAAAAGGAAGCAGAAATCCCTATTTATATACTAGATGGAGTTAAGTTTTAATGTGATTTCTCAATATACAGTTTTTTAATGAGTAAATTGCCTAAATAAGAGTAAAAAAGTTTTGAAATTACAAAATAGGAGTATCATGTTTTTTTTTATCTTAAATAGGAGTAAATTTCTGCCAAATTTGGCATTACTAGGCTTTTAAACACGACATTTTTTCCAAAACTGACAGATTACTCCTATTCAAGGAATAAAAAACATGATAGTTCTATTTTTGAATTTCAAAACGTTTTACTCCTGTTTAGGGCAATTTCTTTCTTTAATCCCTATTTATACTCACTATTATGCATCTTTTTTCCATCCGCTTCATGATAATGCCTGTGTTAGTAAATTAAACACCAATATTCTTTCTTTTTCTCCTACGGATATTTTACATTTTGATATGTCGCCACCTCAAAAACATTCTCCCTACCTCCCAAAATGTAAAATAATACTTCATCCATCTCATTCTAAAATTCTCACTTTTATTTTTGGATGTCTCATTTAAAGGTTCTCATTTTTATTTTAGAAACAATTTATACTCTTTAATGATAATTTAATCATCAAGTAATGAAAATAGAACATCTATAACATCACAGTTATCATCAATGACCTCATTATATTATATAACCATCGAAATTATTTTTCAAAATATACTCGAATTGTCATATTTAATTAGGGAGATTTCCCAAAATATGAGTGAATGATGTTTGAAATTCCAAAATAGAACTACTTTGTTTTTATTCCTGAAATGGGACTAACATGACAGTATTTACTGTCATCTTGTAGCCGTGACTGCCAAATAGTTGCAGTACAGTGTATTTAACATGACAGTATTTATTATAATTAATGACAGTATTTTTCAATCATGGCAGTATTTTTCATACATGACAGTATTAACTCCTATTTCGAGAAGAAAAACATAATAGTCCTATTTTTGGAATTCCAAATATCATTTGCTCCTATTTTGGGTAATTTGTCATTTAATTATTGTCTAAATAATCATATGCAATGAGAACTTTTGAAGGGGACATAGGTAGTACGAGTTTGATACGAGCTCTCCTAAATTAAGTAGGTAGTTATCGAGAAGGAATGATTAGTACTGGTTACAAAAGTATAACATGAGGCTCACAAGTCACAAAGTAAAACATGAGGCTTACAGTAAAAATTGCTCATACTTTTAAAATGACCACAACTAAAGTGTAAATTATGAATTGTGACTTTTCTTAAAATATTTTTGAAATAAAATTGATGAATAAATATGTAGCTAGAGTTACTATGAATATTTCTGAATAACCTACACACGGGTACTCTAAGAGCCCGTTTGGTAACACGAAAATCGACCGATTCTGCTGAAATTTATGAAGTTCTGGCTAGGGGTGGATCGGTTCCGGTTCGGGCCCGGTTCGAGCCTGGGCCCGGCCGGGCCTCGGTTCATGAAGGGGGAGGTCCGGAACCGGGTCGGGTAACCCCGGGTCCAGGCCGGGCCGGGCCTCGGTTCTATTTTTTTTTTTTTTGGCTTTTCCTAGTTAACCCCCAACCCTCCCCCTCACCCCAAACCAGCCCTAACCACCTCAAATGGTCCAAAATACCAAGCCCAACCCAAAAACTTAAAAAAAATTCAAAAAAAAAAAATAATAAATTGGCCCGGCCCAGGCCCGAACTGGCCGGGCCGGTTCACCTTTTGAAGGGCCCGAGCCCGAACCGGCATCCCACCGGGCCGGGTGGCCCGAACCGGGCAACCAACCGGTTCACCGGGCCGGTCCGGGCCCACACAGTAGCGGGACGGTCCGGTTCCGGGCCGGTTGGCCCGGCCCGAGTCCACTCCTAGTTCTGGCTGAAGTGGCTGCATTGGCTGATTCTGCTGATTTAAGAAAAAATTATCTTTAAAATGTATTTTATTAATAAAATAAAGAAAAATTATATGCAAATATAGCTAAAATGATCATTTACAGTAACTTCGGCCAATACAACCAGAAAAGTAACTTCAACTTTACTTTTTCTTATTATTACACAATTCAGCGCGCGAAAACAAATGTTACGTGTTTGGTGAAAAAATTGGCTGATAAGTCTGATGATAAGCCAAAAAACAGTGTTAGCAAAGGGCCTCTAAAATTGTTTGTGGATCTAATTAAGTGATCATGGAGATTCAGTTTTTTTTTATATTGTACTCCGTACTTGGCTGATTTGATAGTTTTTCAATTAAACTACAACTCTAAAAGAGGTGAACATTATTTGAAGATCCTTTGTTGTGTAGCAATTTGTTGTTAATTTTATACTGCGCTTTCTGTTACTTTGCTTTTGATACCTTGTGATGGCAGTAACTACCAATGATGCAATGAGTCTGCAAAATTGAAGCCCACATCGCACCTTTTGCCCTTCTCTTTCTGACACAACTGGTCTCTCCACTCTTCTCTCTTCATATATGTACACTCGTATATATTAGATAAACTTTCAACTTTCCTTTTTCATCCGTTCCAATTAAAATTTTCACTTTCCCTTTTTGGTAAAGAATTTGTGGTTCACAACATTTCTTACACATTTCTCTCTCCTCTGCACAACTCTCCACCACACAATATCCACTATCTTAAACTTTGTGCTAAACCCATTTGAAAGTTAAAATGGGAACGAAGGTAGTATTAGATTAGAGTACAGTTTTTTCCTAGTTATTTTTTCCTCATTTTGTTTATGTGCACTGTTATCAAAATCTCTTTATTTCCTCTACAAGCTTTTCATATTCATCGATAAAGACAATGAAACTTCAAACTATATGATTTTCCTCTCAGTGAAGCAACACAAATGGTGTTCCTATATGATGTCTTTTACTAGGAAATGTAGTCTTTTCAGCATTTCCAAACATTCTAAATGTAACACAGCTCCACATATACGGAGTAATTTGTACTTTCCTCTGTTCCATAAAAGTTGCATCATTTGAATTTCTGCACTATTCACACACCTTACTTTACTTTGACTACGATTTTCTAGTAATATATATAATAAAAATATTATGTATAAAATATTAATAAGTTTGTATTAGTGTAAATTTCTAATATATTAACTTTTTTAATGTTTACTAATACATAAATAAATATAATTACCGTCAAAGTTGCGTGTTGGCAAACGTAAAAGTCAAATTGTTGCAACTTTTATGGAACGGAGGATAGTATATGATATCACACAAAGCTAGTCAAATATGTGGGGACAGACGGGATTAATGCCAACTCTTACCAAACGATGTACTGACTACTGATAATGACAATTTCGAAGAGTTGAATTGTATTTAACTTAGAAGTTATTATGGTAAACGTTCTTACAAGTTTAACTTAGAAGTGCTACTTAATGATGGCCAAATAATCTTAACCAGTACTCCAAGAACCAAGCAAAAATCCAATAATGCAATCAAGACTTAATTTCAGGTACAACAAATACACAATAAGAGAAAAGCATCACAAAACAATAGCACGATGTTAATAATTTAAAAAAGTTGCCACAATTAAATCCTCTATTGACAGAGCCGTTGAGCAGCAAATCGAATTGCGGAATCCAAATCATATTTCTAAAATTATTCTCAGATTATGAAAACATATATGAAGAAACATTTTCTATTTTTCTTCTGTTCTCTGACTCTGTCTTTCGGTTGCAGGTTCTGAGAAGTTTCAATCAATGTATATGCTTGATGTAATACTGAAAGAGAGATGATTACCCCCAACTGAGGATTCGTAGATAGAATCAGATACATCCAATCCATCCTTTCCCAGCTTTAGTAACTATTGATCTGAGCCTGAGGCCTAGAGGGGGGACCCATCAACCTAGAAAAGGGCCGAGCAGTGGAGGGTACATTTCTCTGGCCAGAAAAACGATCGGCAAGACACGGATCGGAGACTGATTTGGAAAAGGCAGTGGCAAGCTCAACTGCAGAGGCTACCTTCCCAAACCTAGCCCCTCCATGAGCACTGCCGGGAAGCACTGTTGGCTGCTCGTTAACGGGTTTTCGCCGCCATGTCTCTGGTGAAGATGGCCTTTCCTGACTATCACTGTTTCTGCTATTGTTCCTCACCTTCTCACCCTGCCTATTTCTCCTCTGCACATCCGTTCTAAGTGGGTCCCATCTATTATTATTGTCGATTATGACGACATTATTCTCAGCACTTTCTGTGTTATTATAACGGGTAGCATGATGTGTTGTCATGTCTTGTTTGTTCCTTCAGATGGAAATACACAAACTATTTTTAGCCCGTACTTGTGAAATGTATTGTCAAAGTGTAAATACATTCAATTTCCTTACCTAGAGAGTGATTGACGGTCACAATCACCTGCATGGTCAAAGCCCCTTTCCTTTAGAACCTGGTTTAAGTAGGTATATCCAGTGACAGCATTAAGTTAGCAAATTAACAACACAAAGTTCATCTTCTACTCTACAAACTTATTTGTTAAAGAACTAATATGAGGTTGCAACATATAAGGTCAGCAGTCGAGATGATTGTCAAAATTATCCCTTAACTGTAAGTTCTCCCACCTCTTCTTTTGTTGAAGTATATCTAGAAGTTATAATAACCTATACACAAAGTAGTTGGCACAGGAAGTAGAATAAAAGAACCTTTTTTTATTGATTGGATTTTAGCAAGTACAAGAACAGGTCAACCTAACTTCTAACTAGGTTTATAAGAAAACCCTAAAGCACCTTCTGGGAAAATCCATACACGTAGGCATACAATTTTTTAGAAGTCGTATAGCAAGGATACACATGGTAATAAACCATATTAGAACAAACTAGAAAATGACACAAAAGAGATACCCGTGGATATTATATATGTATGTGTGTGTATTATACTTGCCTAATAAGATATAAATTCTTAAGAACAATGACACACATATACATATACACATGTATACACACACAAACAAGTGCAATACAAAGTTGAGATCCATTGAGAATGATTGCTTAGGGGGGAATAGTAAAAATTTCAAACCCACATCACCTAATATGGACAGGTTATATTGATACTTAATAAGGCCTAATGGTAATCATGTGAAGCTTCAAATGTGCAATGCAATGATGCATGCATAGCACATTTACTTTAGAGGAGGTGCACCTAAATCTCACTCCTGAGGTACACATCATACTATATACAAACCGTGAGAAGATAGGCAAACTTCCCGTCTGAGCATTTGGGTGAATTGTGTCCAATAAAGCAAGTGTAGAAATAGGCATTCAGCGGAAGTCAATTTTAGGCTGGCAGATGGCTCAGTTTTCTTTACGGGAGCATTTATTATATTCTCAAGCGACGTGCACCATAGATAGATAAAGGTGATAGGCTGGTAACTTGACATGCTCTCATGTACGTATACGGCAAATTGGAGTTGATAATGGTCTAAAATACAGAGTAGGGAGTAATTTAGAATTAAAAAGGTACAAAAAGCTTCTAGAGATGGGTGCAAGCGTGCAGCCACTGTCGATTGCGGAGTAAATGTTAAGTACGGAGTATTAGATATCTTTAAGTTAGACACGGAACAAATCTTCAGCCACCTTTCTTTTGATATACCTGTGCAAAAGGAATACTGCTTGGGAACCTGCACCAAGCTAATCTTAAAAACATGGACTAGACATTATATATAAAAGCTAAATCTGTCAAACCATAATCTCATACGCCGTGCTATCCAAACAATTCGCTCTTGAAATCTCATACAAGATATAATAATATTCGAAGATAGATTATCTCTTTGGAATGTTTAGGTGACGCGGGGGTCATCCCGACGAACGCAGCCGCTGGTGACGTATTGCCTCACCATCTTCGGCTCTGCGCCTTGCAGTTAAGTCAGAACATGAAGGCAGAAGGCGCACGATGTTGGTACGGTGACGAAGTGCTTCAACAGGGGTGGAGGGGCCACTTTTTGTAATATACGTTGTACACTATAAGAGCTACAGTTAGGTGTAGTCTAAAAATACGGAATGAGTAAAACCGTGAGGAAGTGCTTAAACAGGGGTGAAGGGGGCAAAGGTAAACACTGATAGTCTGATACCCGAAGAGGTAAAGACGGAAGTCGGAAGTCCCACACCCAGATTCCTGAGAGTCAGAGACACGCGCAGATGGCCAGTCCACCAAGCCGCTGACCTTGTCACTGAGCGGCTGTGCTGCTGGCCGCTCCACTTGCCTGCTCCGAAGTCCTGCTACCGGCAACTTGACCATCTTTATTTCTCTGAGACACTGACTCTCTGAGAGTGGTGTGGTTTTTTAAGAATAGTAGAATTATGTGGTTGATAATGAGTTGATAAAGTGGGAATAATGTAAGAATGAATTAGAGTCACACAAATGTTACTAAATATGGTATGGGATAATAATAAAAGAGGGACATCCAAAAATGAAAAAACGGGACAATTATAGGGGGACGGTGGGAGTATTATAGATAAAGTTTATATATTTAGAAACTACGTTACAAGTTGCTAAATCGCAAAAAAAAACACTTAAAATTTTTAAGTGTTTTTTAAAGCTTATTGAATAAAATTACATTTTAAATAGAGTTAAATTTACCATATAGTGTATGCGAATCTTCAAATTGAATGGAGAGATATTTTACTAGGAAAGTGTCTTGACGATTTTATTTTTTTTTTTGATAAAAATGTGACCAATATGAGCGATCCATCAAAAATAAGGTTATCTAACTGAGTAAAAGTGCAGCAGAGTAATTGAGAAACAATCAAGGGCATCTTATCTTTAATAAGTGTTACTCCAACATTTTGTCAGATTGTTTTATTTCTCAAGCGGTGTGAAAATATTCATTTGCAGTGAATATCGAGCAAATTGACCATATTATGAATGTGGGTAATAAGAAAATGTTTCGAAATGTGTAGACTGTGAAAATCTTATTATAATATTTATTCATTTCTTCTGATTCTAAAACATACTTCATACCACTTATGATTTGTAACTACATTTTCCTTGATTAAAATTTTGTTTGTGTATTACGTTCATACTATTTACATTCATGTATACATTAACTAATAATGTTAACAAATAATACTTTGTATAATATGAGTATTACTTAATCTTTGACCCGTGCGATGACATCTAGTATTTCCAAATGTCACCATGTTTTAATTCAAACTTCAACAGTTCAACCTTTAACAAAAAATAAAAAATGACACCGAGCATTTTAATTCGAAAACTATCTCATCTATCTTTTTAAACCAATTGCCTAGATTTAATTAATTTTTAAGTAAAGATTCTATTTGATCCACATCCTTAAATTTATTTTGAAATACAATTAATGCTTACCCTAAAATGTATGTGCACTTACTGTTTAGTTATAAAAACAGTAAAACTCTAAGCAGCCCGCTTCCCCACAAACACACACACATACACAAACTTAACAAAACCCTAGTTTGATAGCTCTGTAATAGACAGATAATACGACAATCTTATTTATATACACTTCTATAATTTAAATAGCTAAACCCACTTTACAATGTCATTGACCCCAACTAGTTGGGATTAAGATGTTGGTGATAATACCATAATAATCAATTAAAGAACACTCACCATTTCTCTTGGGCGAGCACCACCAAAAACAGTGTTCCTGCAGCAAAGCATCACGAACGCCATAGTTAGATGATTATCTCAAATGTTTCTCAAATGGAAATCTCAAGTGGTAGAGTGTTATTTACAGCTCTAAAGTCTAAACACCAATCTACAAAACTATGGGACCAATCAGTATACTTAATTGTGGTGCTGAAACTAAAAGAATGCAAGCCTCTCCTGCACTTTTTCTGATCACTTGTGTCTCCTTGAAAGTGGAGGGTATAATTAGAAAGATAAATGAGAGTCAAGCACACACTACATATCGAAACGCTTAGGTTTCCATGGTAACAGAACTAACTTTCTTGTGACTATCCATTTTCAGGGAATCTCCAAAAAATACCAGGTGACAAGAAAAATCAGATGGGAGAATTCATGACACTCAAATATAAACATTTGTCCAATTTACACAAGCGAATAAGCATACAAAGCTAATCACCTCTCTCAATTGGCTCTTTGTGCAGAGGAAGCACACGGCAGATATAGAGGGCCATAGAAAATACATGAATAAATAGAGCATATATTCAAACTTGATCATGAGAAATAATATTAAAAAGGGACTGGAAGTATACGGCTGACCTTTTGCTTTCGATTTCGTTTAACTGTTCAGAAAGCTGTGAACGAGGCTTCAAATTCAGCTTAGGACGCTCAGCAGCTCGGTCACCACTTTTATACCCGACAGGTTCATGTTTGGCAGGGTTGCTGGATCCAGGTATATTCCCACCATATTCAAGATGAATAGGTTCACTATGCTGCTGCTGCCCCTATATCAAGAATAAAAAAGGAATGAGATGCAACTCTAAGAGTGTATTTGGGAGTTGGGTTTTGGAGGAGAGGGGAAGGTTGATGAGGGTTAATGACCCTCCTTTTTATGTTTGGGAGTTTATAAAATTGGAGGGGATGATTTTGGAGGGCTTTCGTGACCCTCCAAATCCCTCTAAATGCTCAATTTTTTGAGTTCCCCCAATTTGGAGGGTTTTGAAGGATAATTAACGAAATCATAACTTAAGCTCAATTAAAAATAAATATCAGTTCAATTATTTGAATTTGTCATATCTCAAATTGATTTTAATTATAATTCATTCAAAAACTCTCTTCTTCCAAATTTATTACTCCCAAATACAAAGTAAGGCTTCCTCACCCTCCCCTCCCTTTCCCTCCAACAACATACCTCCAAAGTCTTCCCCTCCCCTTCCCACCAAACTCCCAAACATACCCTAAGGGTATGTTTGAGAGTTAGGTTTTTGGGGTGGTGAAGGTTGAGGAGGGTTTAAAAAATTGGCAGGGATGATTTTGGAAGGTTCTTGTAACCCTTCACATGCTCAATTTATAAGTTCCCCAAAGTTGGTTTTTTTTTCTCAAGTATAACAAATTAAATGATACGGAGTAATTTTTTACCAATTTAAAATGAATACAAATTATACAAGTTCAAATATTTGAATTTACTATATATCTTAACTCTTAAGCGATTTAAATTATAATTCCTCCATAGCCCCTCCCTTTAAATTTGCAAGTCCCAAACAAAAAGAAGGATTTCTTTCACTTCCCATCCCCTTCCCCTCCCACGACTAATCTTCCAAGTCTTCCCCTCCCACAACTAACTTTCAAAGTCTTCCCATCCCGCAACTAACCTTCAAAGCCTTCCCCTCCTTCCAAACTCCCTAACATACTCTAAGGGTCTGTTTGAAGTGAAGGATTTAATTTCATACCACCTCCGTCCCAAAATAATTAACCATATCTTAAAATTTGGACCATGGTTTTGATTAGTGTAATATTATGAAAGTTATAAAAATTATACTTTTACGAAAGTATTTTTAACAAAAACATTTTCATATCATTTTATATTATAAATAATTTCCGATAAATATATATAGTTGGTCAAAGTTTTGAATTTGGCTAATTATTTTGGGATGGAGGTAGTATGTTATATTCAACCCTCTAAATCTTAAAACCCTCCATCCGAAATCCGGACATGCCTTAAAGAAAAACAAAGATATCAAAGTCCAAATGAATTACCAATACAGGTGGTTCATAACTTTCTACTGGCTTAGATCTAGGAAGCAGTTTTAACTTGGGCCTCTCTGATGATTCTGAAGCCACCGATGACACAACTTCGGATTCACTGTATCTGCCCGCATGTTGGAAATTATGAACTCCTCCATGGACATTTATAATCGAAGCTCTTTTTTCGTGGCTCTCTATGATTACAGGAGATTGAACTCTCTCATTGTTCTTATAATTCCCTACATCAACCGCATTTGTATTGCTGCAGGCACTAAGATCATACTTTTGGCCTTCTGTTGGGGAGCTCATATGTTGTTTTGAATTCCACCTACCAGATGAGATCTTGTCAAGTGCACTGGCATGGACCAACTTAGATGCTGTTTCCTGAGCAGACCATCCAGTAGTAACCAAGGATTCCTTCATACCTATTGTCTCTTTCTTTAATCCCCAAGCATTTGAAGAATTTGTATTTACACGAATGTTTCCACTTGAAGTTTGTGGATTTACTCTAAGGTTATTCTTAACTTCTGAAAATCTTGATGCATATGAACCACTAGATGTAGTGCTTGAAATCTGAGACAGAGGTGCTGATAGCGGTCTGCTCTTGGGTTCAACATGGCTCGATTGAGAATAAATGATGTCATCACTAACCATCCGGCGGGGGCCGCCTGGTGTCCCCCCATCCAATGGCTTCCTCTCATCCTCGTCGAAATTACGGCCAATGAGAGCATTTTGACTGAGGAAAGGTGTTTTTTCATCAAAGTTTCTTGAAGTTCCTGCTGATCCAGGACGCAGTTTATGATGATCAATTCTTCCTGTGGTGGTCCCCCAATGCATTTGGCGATCCAATGGCCTAACAATTCTGTCAAATAATCAAATCACAGTCATCCGCGTCAATGTTTCAACAATTTTTTGAGAGCGTTTGGAAGCTGGATAGGAAAATAATTACCAAAAAAACTAAGTTTCTGTCTTGATTTCCGGAAAACACCAAGGGGAGATGGACAGTGGATTGATTTTAGTTGTTAAACACGATAATGTAGAAGAGAACGAAATATGATAAATGTTGTTAAGCATTTCGTTTTGATTTATTGGTCTTGTGTGTAGAAGAAATCAAATGAGTTTGAATTTGGGCTATGGGCTTTAATAGAAATAAGATTGAAGTTTGCTGAAATCAGTAAAAGAGATTACTAATTGACAGCAATTCAAAAGGATGGGAGATTTAGAGCAACTTTAACGGAGGTACTATAATAACATTTAATCAAAGGACTGGCTCACAATAAATCAAAATCAGATACAGAAACTGTAGGAAGATGGTGCTTGATTCAGATCAGGATTTCATATATGCTCCAAAAAAATACATATTAAGGCGCATATATCCGAAATATAAATATAAATCTATAATAGAGATGCAAAATGCGCGAGATATGCAGTTGAAGGTTAGAAGAAAAAACATACACGCCAGGGGCAGATGGGAGAGGAAGATCGGAAGGAATAGAACCGCCATGGAAGTCTTTCAAGGTCATCGTTGCTTTCTTCTTCGACATTCTCTCTTTCTCCAACCACACTACCCTTCCCTAGAGTGGAGTCGCCCTTTTGTCTCTAGCTCTCGGTAATCCCAATCAAAAGATTCTCACTTTCTATCCCTAGAAATCAACTGTCGAACTCGAGAAACAAAGAGAACAAATAAAACGTAAAAAAGAAAGGGGGGGGGGAGTGGTGCAACCACGGGTCGTGGAGCCAAATCTCTACAGCTTGGCTTTCGCTAATGTGCAAATAGGCCGTACCTGTTTACTTAATGGACTTAATGGAAATCATGACTTATTCGTTTAGCTATATTGGCGTGTTTACTTGCGACTTAATGAAATAAATGACTTATTCGCTCAGACGTAAAACGTTTTTAATGGTTCAGCTCATATTCTAATGTTTAGCTATATTGGCGTGTTTACTTGCGACTTAATGAAATAAATGATTTATTCGCTCAGACGTAAAACGTCTTTAATGGTTCAGCTCATATTCTACTCTCCTTACCATTCAGACATATCATTTTATATGAAATGTCTATTTATCTTTGTACATGGTGCTTACTATGGAGTATTAAAGAGCCCGTTGTTTTACTTATCAGGCTTATAATTCAACTTTTTATCTAATTATGCAACTTTAGATTTCGCGCGCTGAATTATGTAATAACAAGAAAAATTAAGTTTGAAATTACTTTTCTGACTGTATTGACTGAAGTTATTGCAAATGATCATTTTAGCTATTTTTCATATACTTTTTTCTTTATTTTATTAATAAAATACGGATTATATTTTAAATATTTTTTTCTTAAATGAGCAGAATCATCAAATACAACCACTTCAGCCTCAACTTCATAAATTTCATCAGAATCAACAGATTCAACCAATTTCAATGTTACCAAACAAGCTCTAATTAAACTTAAGTCGTTTCATATATGGTTATATTTTATAAATTATAAATGATTTTAAACCTTATGAATTTCCATAATCATAGGTGCCAAATAGAATTGGCAAAACAGAAAATTGTCCAAATTAGACTAAAACATAGTCTTTTTCCAAAAATATACTATATGTTTGATTTTCTCTAAATAGGACTAACAATTTCATTTCTACGCCTAATTTAATTAATTAATTAACGTAATTAATTCCACCCTATCTCACTTGCATAACCAAATCAGTCTGTTGGTGGTGAGATCAGTGTGTGGTGGCAGCGACAATGAGCAGACTCTGACAACTATGGCGACGCCGATCTACGATAGTGGCGGCGGAAATCTGGCAGATCACTAGAAAAAAAAAATCTTATTATTGGAAATGAGCTATGTTTTATTCCTATTAAGGTAAATCTCCTTTGGACATACCCCTCTTAATATACAATTATGCACGTGATCTCATCGTTATTCAAAAAATACTCCAAATCCCATATTGTTAGGATTGGAACATTCTTCTATTCATAACCAGAACAGAATTACAATAGGAGGAGCAACTCTCTCACTGAACTATTACAAAAAACCAACCCTTTTATACACTCACTATATGTGTATCACTCTCACTACTTTTCTCTCCGATTTTTTATGCATTTGAACAATGGAAGAGTATTCTATTTATAGGCAAGGCTGGAGACATATTCATTGGTACCCATGCTACAACCCATTCTACAACCCATGCCTCCTCTCCATGCCTCTCCATGCTTCTCTTCAGTGGGCAGGAGATGGACGACCATCCCATGGTATGGAGGATGGAGTGGGCTTGCTGGGAGCTGGAATTCTACAAATCTCCCCCTCCAGCTTCTTCCGTAATTCTCTCATTCCAATGATGTTTGTACATAGCTTGTGCTTCTCGTGCGGTACCACTTTAGTTAGCATGTCTGCCGCATTTTTGTTTGTGTGTATCTTGGAGAGCTTTAGTTCATCTTCCTCAATTGCTTCTCTAAGCCAGTGATATCGAACATCGATATGTTTTGTGCGTGAATGATACATCGAGTTCTTGCTAAGATCCATAGCACTCTGACTATCACAATGAATGATGTACTCCTCTTGAGGAAAGCCCAACTCTTGGAGAAAACGTTTCAGCCACTTGAGCTCCTTCCCAGCTTCAACAGCGGCAATGTATTCAACTTCTGTCGTAGACAATGCTACACACCTTTGCAACTTGGACTGCCATGAGACGGCTCCCCCTGCTAGTCTGAATATGTAACTTGAAGTAGATTTTCTACTATCAAGATCTCCAGCCATATCAGCATCTATATAACCTTCCAAGATTGGTTTCGCTCCCCCGTAGCACAAACACAACTTTGATGTACCCTTCAGATACCTGAGTACCCATTTGACAGCTTCCCAGTGTTCTCTTCCTGGATTTGACAAGAACCTGCTTACAACACCAACAGCGTGAGCAATATCAGGTCTTGTACACACCATTGCATACATCAAACTTCCAACGGCTGAAGAGTAGGGCACAGCTTTCATCATCTCCTTTTCTTTCTCGGAAGAAGGACAACTTTCCTTACTCAACTTGAAGTGATTGGCTAGCGGAGTGCCTACAGGCTTGGCACTATCCATGTTGAACCTTTTCATCATGCGCTCAACATACTCCTCTTGTGACAAGAACAACTTCCTTGTCTTTCGATCACGAACAATTTTCATGCCCAAAATTTGTTGCGTCGGGCCCAAGTCTTTCACATCGAAAAACTTAGACAAATCTAGCTTCAAGTTGTTGATGAGAGACACATCTTGGCCTACTAAAAGCATATCATCCACATAGAGCAAAAGGATGATAAATTTTCCATCTGGGAACTTCTTCAGGTACACGCAGTGGTCTGCAACTGTTCTCCTGTATTGGTGCTCTACCATGAACGAGTCGAACTTCTTGTACCATTGTCTCGGGGCTTGTTTGAGACCGTATAGGCTCTTCTTTAACCTGCAAACAAGATGTTCTTTCTTTGGAACTTGGAAACCTTCAGGTTGCTCCATGTATATTTCTTCTTTAGATCACCATGGAGAAATGCAGTTTTCACATCCATGTGTTCAAGTTCAAGATTTAGACTGGCAACCAACCCGAGTACAACTCGGATCGACATCATCTTCACAACCGGCGAAAAAATCTCATCAAAGTCAATTCCCTGTTTTTGTTGGAATCCTTTGACCACGAGTCTTGCCTTGTGTTTCACAATATTACCATTGACATCTTTCTTCACCTTGAAAACCCATTTGTTTTTCAAGGCTTTCTTTCCTTTGGGAAGTGGCACCAAGTCATAAGTTTGGTTCTTCTGCAAGGATTTCATCTCATCTCCCATGGCTTCCCACCAATTGGACTTGTCTTGATGAGATTGAGCTTCTTGAAAGCTCTCTGGCTCCCCCTCGCTGGTAAGAAGGATCCATTCAGATGTCGGGTATCTTCGTTGTGGAACTGTACCTCGCGTAGAACGTCGAAGTTGAGCATTGTCATCAAGGCCTTCATGTGAAGGCTCTCCCTGCCTAGGAACTTCATCATCTTGAGCATCATCAACATCTACTGGGCCATCGTGCACTTGTTCAGTATTATCATTCACTTCCTCGTTGTTGAGAGGAACGTGTGATACTACAGGAACATCTTCAGGAGCATGTTGTTTGTTGTGTGTTGGAGTAAACTCATGAAATTGGGATTCATGAAAAACCACATCTCTGCTTCGAATGACTTTCTTCATCCCACAATCTGTATCCAAATTCTTGATCTCCGTAGCCGATGAAGATGCATGGGTTTGACTTAAGATCAAGTTTTTGCCTCAACTCCTTAGACACATGTGCAAATGCCTTGCCGAACACTTTCAAGTGAGAGTAAGAAATGTCTTTTCCTGACCATTTCTTCTCAGGAGCTTCAAAGTTTAAGGGAACTGAGGGTGACCTGTTTATAAGATAGCAAGCTGTTAGGACAACTTCACCCCAGAATGGCTTTGGAAGTTTAGCCATACTGAGCATGCACCGAACTTTCTCCACGATAGTTCGATTCATTCTTTCGGCTACACCGTTGTGTTGTGGGGTCCGTGGCACTGACTTCTCATGTCTGATTCCATGTTCAGCACAATATATTGAGAATTCTCGAGAAGTGTACTCGCCTCCATTGTCAGAACGAAGGCACTTCAGTTTCTTTCCTGTCTCTCTTTCTACCATAGTATGAAATATTTTAAAGCGATCAAATACTTGATCCTTAGTTTTGAGACAGTAAACCCATACCTTACGTGACGCATCATCAATGAATGTCACAAAATATTTGCTACCTCCAAGTGACTCCTCTTCAATGGGTCCACATACATCAGAGTGGACAAGGCTGAGTAACTGAGAATGATTTTTTCTAGTGGAACTGAAAGAAACCCGGTGTTGTTTCCCAAATAGACAGTGTTCGCAGGGGTCCAAAGCAACATCTTTGTCAATAGAAATTGCTTCCTTCTTTGCAAGAGTTGTCAGTACCTTCACGCTCATGTGGCCTAACCTCTGGTGCCACAAATTTGGTGATGTCTTTCCTTGAAAAGCATTGAGACTTGGACAACACAACTTTACATGGGTTTTGTAAAGAGTACCACAAATATGACCTCTTGCAATAATCATAGAGCCTTTAGATAATTTTCACGTACCTTCTTTGAATTGGCTTTCATACCCCTGATGATCCAGAGCAACTCCTGAGATAAGATTCAATCTCAGATCTGGAACATGTCGAACATCTTTCAACACAAGTGTGCAACCAACACTTGTTTGAATGTGCACATCTCCAATGCCAACAATGTTTGAGAAACTTGTATTTCCCATCTTTACAGCACCATGGTCTCCGAGATTATAAGTTGCAAATAAATTTAGGTGCGGAGTGGCGTGAAATGATGCAGCGGTATCAATCACCCATTCAATATCATGCGTACCTACATGTAGGCATGCTTCTTCTCCGCAAGTAACAAGTGCAATGTCTGGTGCCATGGTGAGCATGGTCTCACCATCTTCTTTGTTTGAACTTTGACTCGTCTGAGGCTGCTCCCGTAGAAACTTTCAGCATTCCCTCTTTCTGTGCCCATAATGACCACAATGGTTGCAATAGCCCTCGAACCAAGTATTGGTATCGACGGACTTCCCCCGCTCTTGTGATCTTCCTCGAACTTGAGATCTCCCTCTACTTTGACCTCGAGCTCTGCCTCTGCCTCGACCTCGTCCTCTACCTCCATTTCTGCCTCCCCCTCGCCTGCTGATTTCTGAGACGAGAGCATAAGACTGATCAGTCCCAACTTCCTTCCTTCGTGCTTCCTCATTCATCAAGGCGTCTGTGACCATCTGCATAGTCACGGTACCATTTGGGGCAGAATTACTGAGAGTAACAACAAGAGTCTCCCAATTATCAGGTAGAGAGCTAAGTAGAAGTATTGTTTGTTCTTCATCTTTGAGGACCCATCCAGTGGTGCTCAATTGGTTCACAAGATCCTGGAACTGACTCGTGTGTTCCGACACAGAAATGCCACCACGTAACTTGTGGTTCACTAATCGTCTCATCAACAGCGTTTTATCCCGAGCAGTTTTGGCTTGGTACATGCTACTAAGTTTCTCCCATAGTGTGTGAGCACTTTGCTCTTGAGAAACATGATGAAACACGCTATGATCAATCCACTGTCAGATTTGTGCAACAGTTTTTCTGTTCATCTTAGCCCATTCTTCATCCGTCTTTTTATCTGGTTTAACGCCATTATTATCAAGAGGATCAGATAAATCTTTCAAATTTAGCAAATCCTCCATCCGAGGTTTCCACATGTTGTAATTCGTGGAAGTTAGCGCAATCATGGTATCCGATGATGATTTTTCCATGATAAAGTGTACAATTTTTCCCGTACCTTAATTTGGAAGCTGAATTAGGCCCAACGGAGCACACCGTTGAATCCGAAATGGCCAAAAATGGTGGGAACCGGTCTCACCGCTTCACGAACCGGCCAGAAAGGGTGTGAACCGGAGTGTTGAACCACGAACCGAACCGGTTCTGGCCAAAACCAGAGGGCAGCCAATCAGGCTGATGACGTGGCACCACATGGCAGTGACATGTCCATGACGTGGCAGCTGACGTGCACCGGCAGGTGGTCCAATCGGCCGGTCGTCGGTGACGTGGCAGATGACTTGGCGCCGACGAGTCGATGACGTGGCGTGACCTGGTGATGACGTGGCTAGATGACTGGTCGTCTTCTCTGGCGAGGTTGCTGCCGGACTGGAGTACTGCAGCGGCTTGACTGGCAGGAGAGAGAAACTTTGACCGGACGTTTGGAGGCCTTCCGTTGCTCAAAAAATTCCGAAAAATATATTTTTGGAATCCTCAAAAAGAGAGCTTTCTAATGGTAACCTCAAAACAAGATTCTGGAACAAAAACGTTTTGACCAAAAATTCTGGTGAAATTTGGATTTCTGGACTAAACTGGCTCTGATACCACTTGTTAGGATTGGAAAATTCTTCTATTCATAACCAGAACAGAATTACAATAGGAGGAGCAACTCTCTCACTCAACTATAACAAAAAACCAACCCTTTCATACACTCACTATATCTGTATCACTCTCACTACTTTTCTCTCCGATTTTTGATGCATTTGAACAATGGAAGAGTATTCTATTTATAGGCAAGGCTGGAGACATATTAATTGGTACCCATGCTACAACCCATTCTACAACCCATACCTCATCTCCATGCCTCTCCATGATTCTCTTCAGTGGGCAGGAGATGGACGACCATCCCATGGTATGGAGGATGGAGTGGGCTTGCTGGGAGCTGGAATTCTACACATATAACACAATTAGAGCCCGTTTGGTAAAAATGTTTTTCAGCTGATTAGATAAATCAACCAACTTTTTCATCAAACATGTAACTTTTGATTTCGCCCGCTGAATTGTGCAATAATAAGAAAAAGTGAGGTTAAAGTTACTTTTCTGACTGTATCGACTAAAATTGCTGTAGATGATCATATTAGCTATGTACATACCGTTTGTTTATTTTATCAATAACATATTTTAAATTTAATTTTATCATGAATTAGCATAATCAACCAATTGTGTCAGAATTTTATAAATTTCAGCTGAATCAGCCGAATCAGCGGATATTACCAAACAAGCTCTTAATCACCCATTTCATACTCTAAATTGGAAATATAAATTTTCAACAAGAAAATATGTGTCGTAGGGTTAAGTAAGTTAAGCATGCGTGTGAATTTATCTAGATATCTAAATATAAAAAGCGGTAAAGATTTTTGTTATATCCAACAATTAGATTTGTTATTAGAGTGTAACAATTGTATGACTCGTCACAACACATAGCATTTTGATGCATCTTTTGAACTATATGGAAAAAAATATCATGTGTTAGGACTCATTACAACACATGATATTTTTTTTAACTACTTCAAGGGAATTTCACACAATAAACTCAAAATACGTGACAATTTAGTTTGGTCATTTTTCATTTTTACCTGTTGGATTTTGATAGGGTCTTATTATTAAGAGTCACGGGATTGTAGTATTGCTTATCAAAATGGTCTTTTAATGTATTTTTTCATTACTAAATGTAAATATTTCAATTATTTAGTAAGTGCAAAGTCATCAATCGCATCTTAACTTGTGTGTATAGAATAAATATCATGAACATTTATCGTGTATGTGATTTTAGAATCATGAACTTATATTTAATGGTTATCCTAATTACCGGTTGGAATGGTTACAATGTGACTAAAAGTTACCCGTTTAACAATGGAGTGATTAGATAACGGGAAACTACCTCACAGGGTGGATAAAACTATATGCCTGTTTATTGGTTCACCCGTAATCGCATCATCTCTATTGGTACTAAAATAGAAGTTTAAAATTCATTTTAAGCTGATTTGCTCATATTAACATAAAGAAGAAGTTTTTTTATATTTTTTTAGGCTACCACTTGATATATAGTAAGATAGTTTTTACTTTTTAGAAGTATTAAGTTCAAAATATATTGTAAAATAAAACAGTGAGATTTCAAACATTATATGAAATTAAAATTAATAAAACAACATGATTAATAAACTGAAAGTAATATGTTTTCTTTAAAGTTGCATGTGGGTCTTAGTAGATGAGGCCATGATGGGTATATAGTTTGAAAAAAAATGAAATTTCAATTTTCAATAAATAAATGGTTACTAAATTGAAATGAATATCCTATCGTTAAAAATTATTTGTTGCATTAAAAAATGGGAAAGTTCCCGAAATAAGAATAAAGAGATTTTGGAATTCCAAAATATATAGGACTGTTATGTTTTATCCCTGCAATAGGAGTACATGCCAATATTTATTGTCATCGTGTAATCATTACTGACAAATAGTTGCTGTAATACGTATTAAAAATGACAATATTTCCTATCATTAATGATAATATTTTTCTATCGTGACAATATTTTTCAATCATGACAAAATTCGTAGCAGTTCCATTTTGAAATTACAAAACCTGTTTACTCCTATTTAGGGCAACTTTCTTAAAAAAAATTGAAAAATTGAGACAATTTCAAATAAATTCAATTACCCCTAAACATTGCATATACAAATAAACTTCTATTATATTCAATTAAAGATTTACGAAGAACATTCCTAAACATCATGATAATATTCGATATATTATACTACAAACATTTCGAATATCGGTGATCTTAAAAATTTACAGAAGGAAACGTTTATTTATATATATGTTATTGTTAGGAATATATTTTATTGTATTTAATTACATTATTTATCTTTGTATTTGTGTATTTAATATATTAGTTAATTAGACAAAGCCAATTTTAAATTGGGCCCTTTAGCTTCATGTGATACGGAATTACTTGAGACATTCATATGTTCTGTCCGGAGAGCCGAGAACCGCCCTTCACCATAACAAGTAGCAACATTGAATACTCCTTCTATAACTTCTTATTCACCATTATTGTATTCAATATTGCATTCAATACTCTCATCTAGTCAATAATAATTAATTGTATGCTTGTCATTTAAAACGGAACATATAGAATTGTTTACGGATGTGCTTCTTAAATCTGTAATTGAATATAGTAATTCATAATGCTTAATTCAAGTGCCCTATGATTAATAGTTTACCATTATATTTATTATCATTGAATTAAAGTAGTTAATAAGTAAGAAAATCATAGCAAAATTTGAAAATGATAATTTTAATTCATACCTCAGCTCTCCCTACTTTTGTCAATTGGTCTATTTTATTTATTTATAAATGTATGTACTTACATTATGCAACATATGAGGTCTACTTTTCTGTTTTTGTTTTAGTATGTTCTTCACTTGCTTCTCCATTATCTACATGTTTTCCCCTACCATACCATTCAAGGGTTGGTTTACGCCTATCTTCATTACCTTGTGCATTAAAAAAATATGGTTATGCTTTATAAATGACAATGAAGCAAGGAAGCAAAGCTTTGGGGCTGAGTACAATGAGCTCTTCTACAACGCCTGAGCTCAAACCACCCACTTTATTACCAGCAAGAGAATCAAACCCTAACGATGGCTCACACCCAATCTCTTCAACACTCTCAAGTGCTCTATGCACCCTTCCACCGATCACTCTACACACCATCACTGCCTTCCTCTCACCACCGCCATCCTTCACCTTTACGCCTTCAAGTGCCCCTCGGCTCGTGGACGTCGTCAACACCCCGACCCCACCGTTGACCGTGAACCCGTGTCTCAGAATCTGGCAAACATCACATTTATGTGACACACATAAACCTGAGGAATCTCCCATGCCTAAATGGCATTCCACGGTTGTGCCATGGAATCTCAATAGCTCGTTCCCATCGGCAAGGCAACGTGTGTGTTTTTTGACTAGTCTGTTGGCTTTCGTCTTAACCGCTTCGCGATACTCTTCAAACTGAGTTAGTGTCTTTAGGGTGTTGTGCACTTTCAAGACCATTTGAATAACATTGCTATCCTCCTCTTTGTTGCCGGAGTGCATTGATGACTGCAGGTTGGTTCTGCAGATCATTTCTATTATTTCTCTTGACAAGTCTCCTTCAACTATTTGTGTAACTGTAACATGTATAATATAGAAATAACAACTATTATTTGGGTATTGTTTGTGAAACATGATGAAATGTAACAACAAATGAACAAATGCATAATGTACATCTACACTAAAAATATAGTCTCCTCAATCCGTCCCAGTACTTTGATATTTTTGCCATATAAGTCGCCCTGAAACCTTAGTAATTCAGGTCTTACCCCGTAAATGAGTGTGAAAATAGATGATATGAGTTGTTTGAAGTAATAAAACATTCTAGTGGTCGTACCTTTCGAAAACAGCTCAAATTATACTAGAACTTCTTTTTCTCTTTTAATGTCCAGAAGGACCCGAACATGTTATGTTTTTAAAAAGCAAGTGAAAGCATTGAAAACACTTGAAATGTCACTTTCCCAAGCACACCCTTAGGTGTGGTTTTGGTCATAATTATTTGGTAAAACTTGCTATTGAGTATCTTATGTGTTTTTAAGATATGAAATGGCTTTGTTTTATTTATTGACAAAAAAGTAGATACATGAAGTTCATTTGTGAAAGAAGAGGGTCACTAGTGAAAAAATAATATAGAAAGCTTGTAACTTATTTTCTATACTCGACTAGGCTAGATGCTACGGACTGGGAGATTGCTTTTCAATTGATACCCTATTATAATCAATATTTTCAATTACGAACATATATAATAGCTTGAAATAAGATATAAGCCCTCAAATATCTCTAAAATGTATATTACTCTTAAACACTTACCAGCATGGTTGGAGAGGTGATGCGATTCAACATCTTTCCATTCTGAAAACTTCTCACCACATTTGTGACAACTCAAAGGTTGAGAGCTACTTGAATCTCCTCCAGCCCAAGTAAAACCTGATGATCTGGACAATCCCCTTCTCAGAGGTCCATTATATAACCCTTTCCTTTTTGGGGGCCCACTGTGTTCGCTTCCCCCATTTACAGGTGCCCCCACTGTCTTAACCATTCCCACATAGGGAGCAGCAATTGGATTGACAAGTTCAGATCTTCCAACAGGTTTGGTGGGGCTTTGCAAGTTTGGTTTTGAACATACAGACCTATTTTTCACTTTCCTTTTGGTCCTTCTTGATGTGTTTTTACCACTTGGGTATGGATCATGTGCATCCCCTTTTGAAAATTTACACTTAAATGACCTCTTCAAAGCAAACCACACTGCTGCTGGCATCTTCTTTTTCTTGTTTCTCCACTTATTGCTCCAATTTACTATGGGTTTTTAACTAGGGACTGGGAAAACTAACAGCCCATGGTTGAAACCATTTCTCTTTTGCAACAGGGCATAAATATAAATGTATTTGTAGAGACTTGGACCTCTTCTTTCCATATATGGAAGATTGTTCAGATAACTACACATTTAATATTTACACATCAAATTAAATTGGAAAAATCATCAGCATTTAGGGAATGGAACACCATTAATTAATAGAATGATTTTTCAGATTTCCAAACATGCAAATCCTGACAGTTATAAAAAAAAACTTCATTCATACCCCAGCCGGTATACCTGTGTTTCGGGGCTGGTAAGTCTCGGAATAGGTGAGTTTCGGTTCCATACCAATTTGTTTTCTGAAACTGTAGTTTTTTTTTAATATAAAAGTGTCAGAAACAGTGCATGTCGCTCTAGTATTTGTACACAAAAGAGCTGGGACAGTACCAACTACCAAGCTTGAACCAGTTCCAAGTATCGGTTCCAGTCCAGCTACTTTCAAATGATCCCGATTTGGCTCATTTATCAATTTACCACCCGGTTCCGACCTGACTCTAATTTGGAAATAAGTGTTACCGATGTGGATTATTGGGTCCAAGTATGGTTGGACTCGGGCCGGGTGGCCCGACCCGGAACCGGCCCGAACCGGTGGCCCGGTCAGTGACCGGTCCGGGTAGGCCCGACCCGGTGGATTTCCGGTCCAGGCTCGGGTCACCCATAACAAGGCCCGGCCTGGCCGGGCCCGGGCCCGGTTCGGGCCAAATTTATTTATTTTTTTGGTTTTTTTCATTTGTTTGGGCTCCACCGGGTTGGGCTTGATGTTTAGGAGGGGTTTGGGAGGTTTGGGGGGTGGGGGGTGAGGGGGGGGGGGGGTCAGGGATGGGTAGCTAAGCAAAAATAAAAAATAAAAAAAATAACCAAACCCGAGGCCCGGCCCGGCCCCGGACCGGACCCGGTGGCTACCCGGGCCGGTCCCGGGTCCAGCTATATAGAACCGCCGGCCCGGGCTCGACCCGGCCCGAGTCCAACCATGGGTCCAAGGAGTATTTGAACTTTTAAATACCTTAACGGCTTAACCTTTTCGTCCTTTTCATTTTTTTTTTTCTGGCAGATAAATTGAGTAAATATATTAACGAATAGAACTAGGCAATCTGAGGAATAAATTCTGATCTCCCTTTTAATGAAATCAGTTACAGTGGAAAAGATTTTATGTGAAAATATTTACGGAAAAAGAGAGTTATGTATCAATGAAATCACACGTAGTGGAATATATTTACGGAAAACATTGTGAAAACATTTACGGAAAAGATTAATGAAATCTGAGTATGTAACATTATAATGTTGATCTAACACAATGTAAAAAAATGAAACCAGTTTTAGAAAATGAATTCCTCTATTTCACAGAATTGCAAAGGAACACATGTTACACATCATTATAAAACATTTTTCAGGAACATTTCCATAAAACAAATGAAGCATGAAGTTTTAAGTATCAATGTTCCGATAATGGCTTTGCTCGTATAGTTGTATGCATGTTCAGGTCTTGTGAATATCTCTTGCTAGTGGAACGAATGTTCATAGAGCATAATTTCTTGCACAGCACATATATAAGCTCAATACAAGAAGACAGAGACAATCATACTCAACACTTGAAATTTGACATTACATAAAGCAGTGCATAATGATCTGATAAAAAAACAAGAGTTTATACATGATTGGAGAAAGCCAACATGATGAAACACCCTGTTATACTTGTACATAGAACATCTGAGAGTGACATGGCTTGCATAAACATGATACTGAGGACCAAGCTAGGACGTACAGAGCATCACATCATTATTGTCACATTTAAGAGATCAAAGATGGATAGCATTAAGATGCATCATCCATGCCAACGCTAGATCAGAATAGGAAATATGAAGAACCCAGAATGGAGGAGTGATTTTTACCAAGGTTTCGCCCCCTAAGGCATTCCAGATCCATCACTTGAGAATGGTCCACAAAAAGGTTCACCTAAAAACCACATCCGTAGAAGAGTTCAGAATGACATAAAGTGACTGTTTGGTTGGAGCTTTTTCTTCTCATCAGTCAGATTTCCTACCAAAACTCTAATTGATTTCACCACATTAGCTGAATCGGCTTATAATGACAAAAGTAGAGTAGAGGTGAGTCAGGTGATGAGGTGATGAGGTGACTTTGTTCCATAAATAAATGAGTGAAGATGTAATTCCAACTCTCGTTATATTATTTCCTTAAAGTTTATTTCAAGAATACTTTTAACTATTCTAAGTTTAGATAAATCAATCATTTGAACTGAAATTTTAGCAGCTACTGCCTCTTCAGCCATTATAGGCATAACCAAACTGATTCAAGAAATTTTCACAGGATTCAAATTGGGTAGTTTAATTTATACTTGTACCTTGGGACCATATTGTTTGACAAACCATTCTGAGATTCGAGGACTTGATGCTTCAAACATAGTTTTTGCTAATCCTAGACGACCGATGATTTTTGCAATCACGTCCGCCCGGACAGAATCAGGTCGCCTGCATAGTTCATCTGCGTCTATCATTATCATATCTGCCCCAGCTTTTAAGCATCTTTCTGCCCTCCTAACCAAGAGGTCCACATCTTCAACATATTCTGCATGAAATAATGCTAAATGGTAGATGCAATGAAATGAACACATTCATATTCATATCTAACTATATTTAATTGTTTTTAAATAAAAGTAATAATTCATAAATAATTATGTAATAAGCACTTACTAAAATATATCATATATCTAAATATATACCAAATAAGTTTGTGAATGATTATTAGAAATATATGTAATTATTGGTTGATTAAATCCATTCTCTATTACTCCGTATCAAATAATAAAATAACAGGAGAGTCTACTTAAAAATATTTTCTTCTTATAGAAACAAATGTATAAAATCCCTACTATCCTTCCCCGCGCCTCCATTATAGATTATATCCCTCACCTCCCCTCCATCGAACCAAACTCACCGTTACGAGTCATTAGTAACTCACTCAACTTTTATGAGTATATATTCCAGCAAACTCTTCCGGTTATCTTCTACTGAAAATCTTGAGAGCAGAATATTAAAAATCTCAAATGATCGAGAGAACCTAGTCCACCAATCAAACCAACATTGTGTTTTAGCTCACCTGAACTTCGCGGTTTTGGAACAACATAAGCACCAAATGCTCTATTGTCACTCAAGGGTATGTCAGACTTGTTGAACTTGAATGAGAACTGAGGCTTAACTCGAAGCCCACCGCTTTTAATCAACCGCACATATCTCAAAATGGCCTCCTCAGGAAGATCTAAGGATGTCATGTCAAGTTCAATGGTATCAAAACCCAATTGTGTGCATTCCTAGAGTAGAACACCATTACGAATAAATCAGGGAAGTTGTTTATATGATGTGAATTTGATAGAGAGAAAAAAGGACCTCTTTCAAGTGTACCTCGAGATATTCTTTAAAATATGAAGGACCTTTACGAAGAAATTTCTCAATATAATCTCCGCTGCTGACATATACATTGTGCTTATGTGCCAGGTCACTTATTTCTCTGATGTATGTCTTAGGCATCATACTAAAAGATCCACCACTAAACTTCAGCCCATCAACAAACTCCCCCATAGTCTCAAACATATCCTACAAAATGGAATTACTCTGCAAACTTAGCAATTTTCTTGACTAGGGGACGTGATTTAAGAAAAATATAAGGGAGATGCATATGACAAACCAAAGGATAATAAGCAATTAAAGGTTTAGGGCATAGAATCGAGTAATAAAGTCGGGTCATCTGGATAAGTACAATTAGACACTTAAGACTTTGATTGGATTATTGGAACCTCTTTAAATGCTTTCAGCTTTATGGATTATGCTAGATGATGTGGATTATTTTTTTTATTTTATGCTAGTGGGTCTGTTGGGATTAAGGCTTGGATGATGTTGTTGTTGTTTATGCTAGTGGGTGTGGATTGTTTTGAAGTATGTATGCTACTTACCCATTTCAAGTTTCAATCAGCATCAATTTTCAAATATGTAAACACAAGTGGCAGAATCACTTTATAATCCCCTGAAAGCTCAGATAAACTCAAATAAAGTTGTATTCATGCACAAATCAAACTATATGTCCTCTAATGCAGCAATTTCTTCATTATGGACACTGTCACTTGTTACATAACCATAGTAATCCATTGCTCTTGGGCGTATTGGCTGCTCTTCCAGCACCAGATTGGTGTTTACATTCATCTTTTCTTCTATCTCTTGCTTTTCTTCCTCCACAGTGGTCTGGCTACTAGAAGCCAAAATAGCTTCTTCACATCCGCAACTTTAGCTGATTAATTGATGATGATGATATGGATTTGAATTTCTCATTACCAGAACTGTCTGTATCAATGGATTTTGTAGGATTACTAGTTGTTTCCTCATGCTGTTTTTTCTTAAGAAAATCAACTGATGGTGCTCCACTTTTAAACGCAATTACATTAACATCCTTGTCATATTCATTGCAGATTCTTTTAAGTAACTTCTTTTTCTCTCCTTTGAAAATGGATTTTAATATTTTAAAAGAGCTTTGTCTTCTATCGTTAGTTTTCTGTGAATGAAATGTTTCGTCCTAGTAGTTTCCCTATGAAATTGAACGATAGGGGGTTGCTACGAAGAAAGAGCAGATGATGTGGGTTGAAGAGAACGAACCTGGAGAAGGGGGCGAGAGAAAAGGGAGTAGTGTGGAGACCTCACTTCAGTGACGCCATAATTCCTCGGCTTCTCGGGGCGATCTTCGTCCTCGGAGAAGCTCTTCCACCCGTATGCTGCCATTTCTCTCTCTGTCCTATCTGGTTTGCATTACGCATTATAGAGCAGGTAAAAATGCAAGAAGCTTTCAGTATTTTCTAGAAAAAACTCTATTGACCATCCTTTCACGGATGCATATAATTTAAGTAAAATTAGCGAATTCCACTAAAGAGTATTAATGTTTTAGTGAGCATCACAGTTATTAGGTTGAGCCTATCCCTTCTTCATATATTCTATTTCCCTTACATTTTTTATTTTTTCTTTTATAAAAACTTATATTAAATTATATCTATACTCAACTCTTATGAATTTCAAATCTAATATGGCACTTTTGAAATATGCATTGATAACATTTTTAAAATGAGCATAACATCAATACCAAATGAACATATGGAACTTACAAAATGAGTATTACACTAATATAACAATGAGCATATATACTTACGAAATGAGTATCGAAAAATTCAAAAAACTCATTTAAAATTTCTAGTAGACTCAAATATTAAATGAGAATGCATAACCTATGAAATCAGTATTGAAAAATTTAAAATAAGCATTACACCTATATTCATGGATATGACATCTTAAAATGTATGATATAATGGTCATTTTAAAATGAGTATTACATCAATATCAAATGAGTATAGATAACTTACGAAATGAGCATCGAAAATTTAAAAGACTAATTTAAAATTTCTAGTATGCTCAAATATCAATTTGTGTATGCTCATATTAGTATAACATAAAGAAACACCAATTCCTCATTTCAGACCAACCAATTCCTTAAATTATATGCACATTTAATTTAAATAATATACTCATAATTCATAATTATTTAGAAAGTTGAAGCTTTTAATATAAAAGTGAGAGATATATGTTTGTATTGAATTGTCATTCGATATGAATTTTTGTAATAATTGTCTGAAAAAATTCTTGTAGAAAATTTACGTTAAAATGAAAAAGAAATAGGAGTTCAAAATTAGAGGAGCAGAGACAAAAGTCATATATAAAAAGAAAAAACAAAAGCAGAAAAAAGAATAAGAAAAAGTTAGAAAAATTAAAGTTCAAAATTAAAGGAAAAGAAAAAAGAAAAAATGAAACAAAAACAAGAAAAAGAAGTTAAAATTAGAAACATTAAAGTTTCAAAATTAAAAGAAGAGAAAAAAGAGAAGCAAACGAAAGAGAAAGAGAAAATAAGAAGCTACAAACAAATGATAAGTGGAGCCCAGTAGAAAAAATGTAAAGAAATGAAAAAAGAAAAACGAAAGAGCAAGTGGGAAGAGCAAATCGGAAGAGGAAGAAGCAATGGAAAGAAAGAAAAAATTGGACCAAGTGATCGATGTTCGAAACCCGCAGCGGCCGTGTGTAGGTTACAGAACCTGAAATAAGGTTGGATCTCTTGTGCGCACGTGTATAAGGACTACCTCCGCTTTGCTGATTGAGTCACCGTGATTAATCTCCTCACCATCTTGTCGGGTCGGGATGGAGGGCCTTGGGTTGGGCATTCAACTTTTTGGACCAAAGAAAATAAAGAAAGCAGATACCTTCTCCCTAATTAGTAGCCTCCCTTTTGCAACTAATTACAAATTTACCTGGGTTGTACCAACTCACACGGCACACTTCTTTTCCAGTATGACATTCTTAAAATCTCTTATGGATAATGTTTACTTTCAAAATTTCCCAAATTGGTACTTGTATAAAATTGCACAATTGGTCCTTGAAGGCTCGTTGGGTTGCAATCTTTATGTGTGTACTAAAAATGTTATGGCGGGTAGGGGTGGGCATGGTCCGGTCCGGTCCGATCCAATTTTTTGAGATGTAAAAATATTTTTTTAAATTTACAAACTAAATTTTTTAAGCATGAAAAATTAATTACTCTACAAATGTACCGAAATTTTTATAATAAAATTTAGTCATTTTTTCTACTAAATTCCTCTCTTGTTTCTTTTATCGTTTATCTTCCTTATCTTTTTATATTCTTATGTTATTTTTATCTTCTAGCTTTTTATGCTCTTTTATTTATTTTTCTTTTATCTTGGTTATATTCTTGTGTTATTGTTATCTTATATTTATGTATCTTTATTTTATTCATTTTATCTTACTTTTTTTTCCTTTTCTTGTCCGTTTTCTCTTTTTGGCATCGATAACATAGATCGATTCATGTTAAACGACTCCAAATTCTTTTGGGATTAAGGCTTGGATGTTGTTGTTGTTGTATTTTTTTCACTAAAATTTCATTTAGTCCTTTTTCCAATTTGTTTTTCACAGTTATGCTACCAATTTATGATTTAGTATTATTTTCTTCTATCCAAAGTTGCATTCTCTATTTTAAAAAATTAATCTCTTGTTAATTTTTTTTACAATTCAGATCTTTATTCTAGCTTAATCTAAAAATATAAATTATTTATTTTTTGCATTTTAGTATTTATAATTTCTAAGAATGTAAAAATGTGAATAGCTGGAACTATTTTTTTTTTTTTTACCAAAAGTCCACACTTTTTCTACCTACCAAAATAGTGGGGATTATTATTATCATTTTGATACACTTTTTTTTACAAGTTTACAATTTCGATCTTTTATATCACTTACCATTATAATATCAATACATTTTCATTAAATATAGTCAAAACCTCTAAAACCTATACCCCAAATCACTAAAAGTAAATGATAAACTATATAATATAATTTATAGAATATAATAGTATAAAATAAAGAAAATAAAAAGAAACTAGAAATACTAAAATGGAAAAATAGAACATTTAGGTTTTTAGAATTAAGATAGCATAAAATAAATAAATAAAATTTTAACCACTATTTTCTGTTTGAAAACAGTGTGATTTTAAATAAAGCAAAATAATACAAAATCATAAATTGGTAGTAGAATTGGGAAAAACAAACTGGGAAAAACGAAAAAAAAATAGTGGAAATAAATCAAAAAACGACTAGAAATATTTTATTTAACTTTGGTACATTTGTATAATATTCGTAATTGTTTATACATGTTTAAAAATATTTAGTTTGAAAATTTATAAAAAAAATTACATTTTCAAAAATTGAGAGTTGATAGTTAGGAACTTAGGATTAATAAAAAAGATCAACTATAGTTGGGATTATTTAAAACTTACACATACTTCATATTTAAAAATGACCTGCTATACCAGGTTGTAGCAGGTTAGGGACTATTTTTGAAAAATGATCCATATAGTTGGGACCACCCAGGAATAATCGATAGTTAGGATTATTAATGGCGGACCGGTAATAGTTGGGATTATTATTTTCAATTTTTCATATTCTAAATGCTGCTCTAATTCTTCATCCTTTTGGTGTTGTATTTCCAAAGGATTGTACCCGGGGCATCCTCCCTTGAGTACGATCGTTCATCCGGACTGAACATACAGGACTGTCGGGACAATATCAGAAGTCCTAACACACCCAAAATGTGTCAATAGAAATAGCATAAAACCATATTAGGATTTGCACTCGGGGCAAACGGGACACAGAAACTGCTTTAGTTGTATCCAAAATTTGCCTAATTCTCTAAATATGGTACTCTAGTGTATGCATTTGTTCCTTGTCCTGCACTTACATTTTTAAACAGTGAATGGAATGAGGTTTCAATAGTTCCTCAGCTTTTTTATTTCCTAATTTTCATAAACTTTACTTGTATATCCTTCTAATATTATCTTGGATAAAGCTCAGTAATGGACACTTCATTTACAGACAAGGGAATGGAATCACTCGTGAACTGATCCGACAACATGAACCCCCCTTTCTGCATCATCTCTGATCTTCCATCGTAAAAGAAAGCCGGTTGATGTGGGACCGGCCGGGTGACAGAATAACTACTGAGCATGAGAACGATATTGGCCATCGTAGGCCTCTCGTCAATATCTTCTTGAACGCACAACAAGCCCAAATGGATGCATTGGATGACTTCATTTCTTGAGTAGGTATCTCCAAGTATAGGATCCAATATCTCTAATGGCCTCCCATCCCTCCAATATTTCCATGCCTACATGATACATAAATGACGTTTCATGATACTGAAAAAAGCTTATTATTTTTGAAAAATAGAAAGGTTATTAATCGAAAGTAGAAACAAATGAAGAGCTTGGTGCTTATAGGTCTGAAAAACTATATATAGGACATTCCTTTTCAAATAAGAACTTCGTTAAGCTTTTATTTCATTAGCCAGAAGAGAAAACATTTATTTTATCTCATGACTATCAAATCATTCCCACTTTGGGCCAAAACTTTTGTTTTTCGACATTTGGTCCCACAACTATAGATGCGACTTTCCAATGAAAATCAACAGGAGATTGTACAGTTATTGACACAAAAAGTTGCCGGAAGGGCAATAACTAACAAAGGATCTATAGTCATGGGACTTGAAGTGGAAAAATGAAAGTTGAGAACCAAAAATAGAAATGGCCTAACAGCGTAGGACCAAAAGTGGTATATTTTCCCAAACAGAGCGGATAGCTTAGTTGGAACTTATGATAACTTATAAGCTCTTCAAAATAAGCTCTACCACACAAACTATTACTCACATAGCTAAGAAGATCATGGGCTTCACTTGTTTCAGTGAAGTTGGAACTCTTTTTCCCAGTTATGATCTCCAAAACAAGAACACCAAAACTATAAACATCAGACTTGACTGAGAATTGCCCATGCATTGCATACTCGGGAGACATGTAGCCACTGCAACCCATATGCAAAATCTTAGCTTAGTGTATATATATACACGAACATATGAGGTATTCCAAATTAGAGTTACAACACGGAGGCTTATTTAACTGTAGTTTCATACTTACTATGTTCCAACAACTCTGTTTGTATTTCCTTGGGTTTGATCGACTCCAAAAATTTTGGCCATCCCAAAATCTGCGATTTTCGAGTTCATATTTTCATCGAGCAGTACGTTGCCTGCTTTGAGGTCACGATGTATAATTCTAAGGCGGGAATCTTCGTGAAGGTATACCAGTCCTCGTGCTATCCCTTCTATGATTTTGTAACGCCTTGACCAATCCAATAAGCGCCTCTTTTCATCATCTGCATTGTTTTGTGCCCAAATGCATGTACTTTTCAAGGTTAATTAGCAAAATATATTAAACAAAAGAAAAAATGATAGAAAGCTATGACAAAGGATGGACTTTTGGTAACATTTTCATACAGCAAGGTAAAAGCGAAACGCTTCTTGGATCGTATTTGGTAAGGCTAAATTTGGCTGAAATTCTGGTTGATATTGACGAGGTTGTGAAAAATGTAGATTTAAAAATTATTTAATACTGAGTATATAAAATAAAGAATATGATATATTAAGACAACTAAGGCGATTTTGTTTCACCAGAAAGAATACTATAATATGCGAGAAGTAGACTTAAAAAGGTGATTTTTTCCATCAAATTCAACAATCTCACATTTCATTGGGGAAAAAGTAGGGGCATAGAGTTGTTTTTGCCAGACTTAGGATAAGGCAGAGAAGTCGGAAAAAGTGGCTACCAAATAAACTCATAGATACCAGACAGGACCTAAAATTTTGGACAATGAACATTGATAAGAGGTGAAGAGAGATATATGACTTTTTAAGTTTGGAACTAACCAAATAAAAAGTAGTCAAGACTCTTGTTGGGCACAAATTCATAGATGAGTATTTTTTCTTCTCCTTCAGAGCAATAGCCGAGCAGCCTTACTAAATTTCTATGTTGAAGCTGGGCCACTACTTCAACCTCATTCTTGAACTCTTGGGCCCCTTGGCCTGATGTTCTTGAAAGCCTTTTTACAGCTACGTCTGGTCCACCGGGAAGCTTTCCCTGAATGTATTTGTCTGAGAATCAATATGCCATTATAGAATGGACTGAAGCAAACAAATTGATCCAGTTAAGCTTTTATTACCTTGTATACTGAACCATATCCACCTTCGCCGATTTTACATTCAGGGGCAAAACCGTTTGTAATAGCTTGAATGGTAACAAAATTATATTGCAAGGACTCGTCACTTGAAATCCCAGATACATCTAAAATAAATTTTAAAAAGAAAAAGACAACGAAGAAAAATATAAAAAATGTGGAAAACTAGGGCAAGTTATTATAAACAAAGGAGAGAAACATAAATCTAATAATTATGGAAAGAACCTGTAAGGTGTGCTGTTAATTCTTTCTTGATATATCTAGTTCTTACACAACACAAGATTGCAATGAAGAGTATAATCCCAACGACCGGAACTACAATAGCAATAATAATCACTTTTGAAGAAGAGTGTTTCTTTTTTCCTGCATACATTGAAACACACCACATTGAAAATGTCCATTTTTTAACTGAAAGGATACTATATTAATATGGTATCGTTTGTGACTTATCTGGTAAATACTCTTAAAGTAGTTGAACCAGAATGCAAAGTCAAACAGAAAACACCATCAGTTGTATATTTTTGGCTGTATTCTAAAAATACCCTGACTATCTTTCCTAAGCTCTATACTTGACCAATACTTACGTGTGTCGGCTACAGTGAATCACAGTACTCCCTAAAGACTATTTGGATCACAGAAAATACTACGCGCTAGGTAAGAAAAGTTGATTTGTTATGTTTAGATTTACTAAACAAAATGCATAGCAAAATGAAATGTGAGTGATGCTATTGACTACATATATTTAGGATGTTTTAATTAGACTGATTTCAAACTAAAACCAGCACAGACTAGATTTAGACGTTAGCAAAATACGTAGTAGATATCTACTGGATCACAAAAGTTCAAACCCGACTAGTTTAGACCAAATCATACCTGATTTAAACGGACCGAACAAGAAAATCTCAAACGAATTAAAAACACAATATAAATAAGTCAAAAAGAATTCAAAAAATATAAAAAATAAACCAGTTGAGTCTCAAACAATGTTATATACGGAGTAAATAAATATGAATTTGAATGAGTATTAAAGTAGATTTATTGAGTTTGAACTATTACTGGTATTTTATTGTCGCAAGCATTTCTTCCCTTTTCCTCCCTATGTATGTTTCAGCATTCCAAACGCTCCCTACAGAAACCAAAGACTCCGTACTAGTGACTTTTTAAGGTTTGACTTTTCGACTTCGCCAGTTCTAGTTTTTTTTTTTAATTTACTGTTGATTTTAACACGTGTCGGTCTAGAGCTGGAAAATTGAAAAGTTTACCTTCATTGGGGGCAGAAACGGGAGGCGGGCTGGAGGGAGGACGGCGGGTGGGAAACGGAGGCGGCGGTGGAGGAGAGGCGACGGTGCTATTGTAGAAAGGGTATGTCTCATATCTAACATTACAGCTTGGGTAGATCGTTCTAGCACCCAGTGCCGAATAGCAACACCCTGGCAGCCGTTGGATTGCACTCCCCAAACAGCTCTGGCAATCCATCACGGAAAGATCCGGCGTGCACTGCCCCAGACTATAGATCTTCTCGAACGACGAAAAATTAGCTTCTAGGGTCGCGAATTTCTTGCCGGATCTGTCCCCGGCGGCGGCCGCAGCTATCATCTGACCCAGCGTGTTACCGACCGCCCGCATAAACCTCTCTGGTTGCGTATCATTCTGGGTATTGTACAAATTCAGCACTATCGACTGGTCAGCTCTCCCGAATATAGACACATTCGAGTAACGCAACATACAATTGTCGTACCAAATGTCGGCAATCTTTTTATTGGGACACAACTTCAGTATATTTGTGCCGGCATCACTCACGCACGTCGCGCAGCCGGCTGTTGAGACGTCGCCGCGGCACATGAACAGGCCGTACGCGGTGGAGTTGCGGCTGCCGACGGTGGAGTTGTAGAAACCGTTTGAGCGGGTGGCATTTGATGCCAAGGCGGAGAGGAGGGCCTTGAGGTTGGAATGAAAAGTGCTGTTCGTAGTATAGGTGGTGGTGCTATTTGGGCAGAAGTTACTAAGGGGTTGGGAGGCAGCTAGGGCGAGCAGGATGAGGAGGAAGAAGAAGAAGATACAGGGTACGTGGCGAGGAAGAGGATGATGCATAATTGGAGCTGAAATTTTCCTTCCTAGTGAAGGGTTAATTTCATTTGTTCAGAAGAACGAGCGGCCTCTGATGATTAATTGGAAGGAGTTGGAGTTGACTCGCAAGAACGAAGATTTATGAATGAAGGCAACCCGCGTGCTCTTACCTGGTCAAACTCTCATTCCAATAAAATTGAGTTTCGATAAGAGTACCCAAAATGTACCCCATTTTTACCCCAACCTCTAATGTCTGGTCATAAATGGACCAATTCATTTAAGTGGTGCCCCACTTAAATGAGTTGCCCCATTTATGGCCACACATTAGGGGTGGAGTAAAAATGGGGTACATTTTGAGGTACTTTTAGCATTTGTGATAAAAAAATTTGTTCCCGTGGAAACATATACGGAGTATTATTGCCCAATAGTAATAGTGGTGAACAAAAAAAACGAAAAACCCAAACCCAGCTACAAACGAAACCTTACGAAAAGCTTATTCCAATAAAATGTTGGGCCGCGGGAATGTGAGACCAGCAATCATTGCTGTGTCAATGGACATCATTCTGATATTTTTGGGAGTTTTTCACAAATGATCTAAAAACTGAAAATAATACGAGTATCAATTTTTTCATTCTAATATCATTTTTTTCTCAAAATTTCATTTTCAATAATAGACCAAGATCACTTGCGGAAGCCTGCTGTTAAGTAACAGATTGCACACTACACATGGATGATGATAATGCATTCTGCCCCAATTTTATGCTCTATAACCATACTTGTAAATTGCATAATTTTTAAACTGATGGATAGTGTACCCGGGGTAGCTTATCTGAGAGGTTACCGCAAGGAGTAACTTAGAGAAAGTCGGAACGAATAAGTAAGAGAGAGAGTTAAATGTATTGAATGAGCTCGTTGTGTGTTACAAAGAGAAAATGGGCTGCTATTTATAGTAGTAATAAATGCTAGATGAGGACACGTGTCAGCATTCTGGTGATCGTGGGGTCACCTCAACCGGAGTGGCGCTGGCACTCGCATGTGGTCACATTAAATGCGGTGTTTGGACGCGACGTTTGTACTTGGTACGGTGATCCAACGCATGTGGAGAGGAGATTCTGTCGAGGAAGATGCCTTCGGTTGTGACCTGTGGGTGACAGGCCGAAGGCTCTTCGTGACCGGGGGGGCTCCTAGTACCGAGGGCTCCTATGCCGAAGGCTTGGTTTTTGAGACTTGTTCTCCCGTGATTTATCTGAGCCCGATTCTGTCACTGGTAGCCTTCGGCAATGGGGCCGAAGGCACCCTTCATGAATCGTTGGTTGCCTAGAGTTCCATCTTGTTGGGCTTGGCCCGCTTGGGCCTGTTGGGCTTGATTGTAATAGTGGAAGCATGTGGGCCGGGGTCCCTGAGCCATATACTTCATCGAAAACATTAAGAGAAAAAATAAAAAATAAAATTTCAATCGAAGAAACTGAAACAAATTTATATATTCTCGAGAAGACTTAATAAATCTGTAAAAAGATTAAAAAAGGTAATAAATTATAAAAATAGAAAACTACACAAAGTGAAAACTTTTAAATTTAAAAAATTATAAAAAATATGTAAAATAAGATAGAAATGTTTTGAAGCTATTTAAAATATGAACAGTAATTTTAAATCTTTTTGAAAGAGTAATTTTTTTAAAATAGATATGTACACAAAGTCAAAAACATCAAAAAATTCTAAATAAAAAAGAGTTGAAAAAAATAAAATTAAATTAAATATATAAAGTTTTAAAACATTCAAAAAAATTAAATTAAATATTAAAGTAAACTAAAAATCGTGTAAGTTAAATAAAGCTAAAAAATGTCCAAAAGACAAAAATATAAATCATTAAAATCGTAAAAATCAAACAAATATATAAATTTGTAATTCAATATTATAATCATTAGTTGTTGGTATACAAGAAATTAGTTGTTTCTTTGAGTTTCTTTGTGTTTCATTTTGTTTATAACTTTGAATTTTTTGTTTTTTATTGTTTCTTTTTATTTCTTGTGGTTGTTGATATACAAAAATTCAAATTTTTATCTTTTAGGTGTTGGCAATAAATTTGATTATGAGTTTATTCACCAAAGATGTAGCATAGATAAATATAAACCTATGTAAATATAAAAAATCTGGGAGATCAGGAAGTATTATTTATAAGGCAATCAATAAAAATCTGCCAGAAAATGTGGTTGTTGATATAAATCTTCTTCATTAAGTTTAGTTTATTTATACCAAATTTCAGCTAAAAATTCAATCGGGAAGACAATCAAATGATTTTTTGAAGATAACTGTGCAATTAGACATCGCAATATAATTCAGAAAATCATTTGACTACCTTCTCGATTGAATTTTTAGCTGAAATTTGGTATGAGTAAACTAGACTTAATGAAGAAGGTGTTCAAAAAATTTCATCGAAAAATTCCACCAGAAACCACCCCAAATGGCGACATCCGGACAAAGCCTCCTGTAAAAGGGGTTAGTTGCACTTTTTATGAAAGTTCGAGGGCTTATTTGATAGTTCTCCCTTCCTATATATATACATATATAGGGCAATTTGCAATTTTTGTCCCGTAACTTTCAGGCGTTTTCATTATTGGTCCCGTAACTTTAGTCATTTGCAAATTTGATCTTGTAACTAATTAATATTTGCGATTTAAGGACTTATTTCCAGAAAAGTACACTTTCTAGAAATGGGACCAATATTTTAATAATGATTAGTTAATTATTTTTGTCACTAAAATATTGCTAATAAACAAACCTAATCATCATTGGTTATAAACCCATTTCAATTAACTAATATTTAAATCTAACTAAAATTATCACTCAAATTCTAAACCCATTTCACTAAAGTTCAATGTTTTAACTTAGTTAATTAATTTACATTTAACTAATATTATTGTTAAATACTATCTCATTAATTCACAATAATAATTCACACTAAACTAATTAATAAAGTTTCAATCCTATATTATGCATTAACAATAATTGCTAATAAACAATAATTGGTGATAATAACCTAAGCTAGCTAACTTAAATCACTACAAGTCACTAATTAAGCTATAATAATTATAAGCTAGCTAACTTAAATCACTACAAATCCTAAATTATGTATTAATAACAATAATTGCTAATAAACAAACCGGCATAATTAATCATTGGTGATATAAACTCATTTCAATTAACTAATTAATATTTATATTTAAATTTAACTAAATTACGTTAATAGTTTAATACTACCTCAGCTCCGTCCTTTAAATTGTTAATAATATGAAAATTAACATGACCTCACTAAATTACGTTAAAATTACGTTAATAGTTTAAATAAATGATGAACAACTAACCTCACTAAGCTAATAATTTATTACATAATTAAAAGAAATTAGTTAAAATGACATACCTTATCTGCATAAACAGGAAAAATGATGAACTGAGAGATTACATCATTCAATCTTTAAACTCATACTACATCACTCGAATCTACGAATTTTTGAACCGATAAGGGATAATTATTGTTCTTGCAATTGTAATGGACGATGAGGTTGGGATATATAAAAAAATTTGTCACGGATTTGTCACGGATTTATCCGTGACAACCCTTTTTTGTACTATATTATTAAAGGTAAGGTTACCGCTGGAAAATCAATAATTGAGGTTTGTCACGGATTTTGTCACGGATGGATCCGTGACAAAGTTTTTTTGAAATCCGTCACGGATTTGTCACGGATCTGTCCGTGACAAATGCCCGGGAGCAAAAAAAGTTTTCACTGGAGTAAAAAACCGGTCGCCGGAGTAAATTTGTCACGGACCAAATCCGTGACAATACTTTGCCACGGATTTTGTAACGGACCTATCCGTGACAACACGTTTTCGTGACAAATCCCAATATTCCGTGACAAAACCCGTGACAACTTTGTCACGGCCATAATCCGTGACAAAAATCCATGACAAAACGCGAGTTTTTTTGTAGTGCTAGAGACGATATGCGCAAACATAATCCGCAATTATTTGACTCAGGCAGTATTTTAGTTACGGCATATGATTTTGGTAAAATGTAATATTTTAAAACTTTGACATATGATTTTGGCTTATGGTTCGGGACGAAGCATTTTTTAAGGAGGGTAGATTGTGACACTTCGAAAAATTAATAATAAAATAAATAATTATACTAGTATTAGTCAGATAAAATGTTGTAAAAGTGACATTTTAATAATAAAATGAATGAAATAAAAATTTAACAATTGTGACATCTTAGTCGGATAAAATTATTTTAATAACATAAGTGACATTTTCATGATAATGATGAAAGTGACGTTTTTATAACAAGTATGTACGTACCAGTTTAACATATGGCGGAAATAATAAAAGTGACTTTTTATAACAATTATAATAAAAATGTATAGGTTAATATTATGTGCAAGATTACACTAAAAGCAATAATATTAGAAGTTAAATATTAATACTCCTAATATGTAAGCTTTGTATAAGTAAACTTGATTAACAGCTTGGTATCATATGCGATCAGGAAGTTTAATACGTTGTAGCAATTGATGATAATAACGAATTAAATGATCGAGGATAGTAATAAGAATAATTGTTGAGGGTAAGTCACGTAGATCCGAAAGCCCAACACAAACTTTGGATATATCAGGAATGGCCCAGAATCAAAGTGTATAAGAAAATATAAGATCTGAATTAACTAAAACTCGAAAACCCACTTGTATTAATTAACCAATCTGATTACAAAGGATTTCTCGATCAGTAAGTCGGAAACTTTGCTTTAATACAAGAAATAAGAGCAAATGATGCTATTCTAGAGATTGAGTATCGAAAATCTAACCCTTACAATGACTTGAAACCTTCTATTTATACTAATGGAGAGCATGGGTTGTCTCTTGCTGATTGGCCGTTGTTCCACCGACTTGGTCATCCATGCTTCCACTTGCTGATGTCATAGTCTGGCATTAACTGCACCTGGCCACTTGCTGGTTGGCCGTTGCTCGAACGGGATGTTGGTCCGTACTGAAGATGCTGTCAAATTGGCCCAAGTATGATATATAGCCCGAACCTCGTTCGGTATGTCTTCTTATTGGGCCAACCTTTATTTGGGCCGAACCCCGTTCGGTATGTCTCCTTACTGGATCTTTTCATCATGGAGTGATGG